GGATTATCGTACTCCTTGGCGCCGTTGTTCAATGCTTGGGGGTGACCTACCTGTGGAAGCGCCGGTCCGAGCGCGATGCTGTGACGCTGTCAGATCAGAGGATTGTGGAGCTAGCGGGGAGCGGCTTGTTAGTTGCCGTGCTGGGTATTGTGATCCTTTCGGAGATTGGGGGAGACGCGCCGGTCAAGAGGATAGAGGGGCTCACCGCACTCGAGAAGGTGGTCGTTGCTTTGCGAGATACGCAGGAGCTTGTTGTTGCGGATGGCAGGAACTACAATCCGAAGTCGCTGCTCGACTTCCTTCTCGTTGGCCGGCCGCTCCGTGACGGCATCCTCCACTCCGCTATCGTCGTGGCTCGCAATGCGCGTTGGGTAATGGCTTTCGTCACGGGAACTTTGGAGGACGGCGCATGGTGCGACTTTAGCGCCTTTGGGAAATTCGTCGTTGCGCTTTTCGTATTGCTGTTCATAGGCACCGGTTTCGGCGTTTCCCGGGGGCGTCACCCTGATAGGGGTATCGCCATGGGTGCGTTGCTTACCGCGTTCTACTCTCTCCTCGTTGCGCTGGGTTACATAGCGGTGAGCTTGGCTTTGGCCTGCTTGATGAGTGTGGTGTATCTGGATTTCATTGGTCCCGGGATCAGGGCGGAGGTCAAGCAGTTGGCGAAGTGGCCGCTGGATAAGGTGTGTGATCCTAGGTTGGAGTGATTCAAGGGCAAGCGAGATTTGGGCGCTTTAGAAAGCGCAAGTCCGTGTATGGAAGATGGGATATTCTTTTCTTTCCCCTTGGGTCTCGGTTAGACTCAGTTTGCTTGACTTTGTAGAATACTCCGAGCTAGCTCCTCAAACTCCCCCCTGAACTGCAGCTTCTCCAACCACCGCGGCGGAATCGCTTCAATGCCATCTCTTGCTCCTAAAAGTCCACCTGCAATCGCCCCGTTCGTGTCTGTGTCCCCGCCTATCCTTACCACGTCGACGAGTACGTCCTCGAATGACCGTGGATCTAACAGTGCTGCTATAGCTACGCTGAGACTCTGGAGTACGTAGCCCGACGTGCGATCCGGGAGCTCCTCGCCTGGTCCTTCCTCTGCGATCTTAGAGATCGAAAGGCTTTCGCCCCGCGAGATAGCTGCTTCGACAGAAGGACAGTCAAGCGACGTAGCGACTTCCAGCCCCACATCAACAGCCCCTTTAGGCGTCGCGCCAGAGACCAGAGAGGCCACGATCTCATTGTACACAGCGCAGGACACAGTGCAGCGCGCGTCGTTATGCGTAACCGCACTGATCGCCATAGACTCCTTGATCCTCCCCTCTCTCCCGCGAGTAAACAGCGCCGTCGGAATACACCGCATCAGACTCCCATTCCCGGCACTCCCCGGCCCAGCACCGCAGTTCTTCGGGTCGCGTGATCGCGCGTATTTAGATAGTCCAGTCAAAGTAGCGCCCCCGATATCGATCGGTCGTGAGCCTTTCTTTCTCTCTGGCCAGTCGCCTTCGAGCCATTTTAGGCTGCACTCTGCAGCGCACTTGGCCACATCAAATTCCTCTGCCTGAGACGATCCCGCTTTCCTAAACTCTTCACGGTCGCGGTACGCGAGGAGCACGGCGCGCGTTAGATCCGTGTCGTCTGTGGCGTGCCCTGGCGGCCAGGAGAACGCGCCGCCGCCGATGATGTCGCGTAGGCCGGTGGGGTAGGTGGATTTTATGCGCGAGTGCGTGGTGAATTCGAGGGTGGCGCCGAGGGAGTCGCCGGTGTGGACGCCGAGGAGGGCGCCTAGGGTAGGGGAGAGGGGTGGTGGCGCGGTCATGGTTGGGATGGAGGTGATTTTTGGTGTGCGAAGTGTGGTCTTGGGCTGGGGGGAGGCTCTATTTATTTCAAAGACTTGGTATATGCTAAAGCTAGGCTATCGTTGGTATCGGAGGAGTGCTGTGGGTTGCACAGCCATGGTATTCACTGCCAAGGATCGCTGCCTACGCTAGGCTGAAGAGGGAATGGCTCGGACCCAGCTACGTTTGGCATCTCGAGCTTCATTCCAGCCTTCTCCCCACTTGCCCTCCTCATTCCTCGTCTTATCCTTAAGATGGTCTTCTGGTCGACTGACTGTGTTGTCGTTGTTCCTGCTAATCGTTAGACGTGCTGTTTTCGCTATCGCCGTTCTCCGGCTGTTTCTTAGCTTCGCAGGCACAGTTCAGCCGTGCAGTCATCAATTCGCTCAGGCTAGCAAGCGCTCCCACCTCTACCACTTCTCGGGCCCCGTCCACGCCCTTCAGCGTTCGATATCATGAGTCAGCCGGGTAACGAAAGCAACGAAAGGGCCGACAACTTCGAACACCACCCCCTCGCCGACGCCAGAGCCCAGATCCGCCTGGTCAGAGTTCACCCGTACGATGCAGACCATCCTAATTCCGTACTCCAAGTCACCATCAAGGCTTTCGACCGAAAGGAAGCTTTCAAGAACTACCGAGCTCTTTCCTACCAATGGGGTGATGCGAACCCGGAGTACCGGATTGAGATCAACGGGAGAGCATTTATTGTGCGCAAGAACCTCAACGAGTTCCTCAAACATGTGTCGCGGAAACAAACCGAGGAACCCACGAACTGGGATGGCTGGTATTGGATTGATGCGTTGTGTATCAACCAGATCAATGGAGAGGCCGACGAGAAAACCATGCAAATCGACAGGATGTGCGAGACCTACGAGCAAGCGGTGCAAACCATTGTTTGGCTAGGTCCGGGTAACGTGAAGATGATGAGGGCAATGTCATATTTTGACAGGGTGTCAGCAACTGACGTCATATTCCGGTCTGCTAATGTGCGCAATTCCTTACGCAATGATGCGGACCTCTTCACGGCCGTTGATGAAGTCGTCAGCAACTCGTATTTTGCGCGGGTCTGGATTGTGCAAGAAATCGCCGTTTCAGAGAAGGACGGTAGGGAATCCGCAATAGATGACCGAATAAGAGTAATATCTGGAGGCGCGGCACTTCCGTGGAGAGTGTTCACGCTGGCTGTTAAGGCAATATCATGGTCTGGGCTCAAACATAATGACGCTGGCGAAGCCCTCAGACTCGACGATATCGCAAGAATAAGGAGCCTTCAATTTATCGCCTCGACATACGCCAACGGAACAGAATTGATGACGCTGGAAACGTTGGTTTCCATGTGCAGAGGGAGGGAAGCTTCGAAAGGACAGGATTACATATACGCGCTACTAAGCCTGGCACACTGGGATGTCCCTGATCATAGGATCCTAGCGGACTACAACCGCTCCGGTTGTTCAGGGATCTGCTCAGCCATTAGGCATATTATAGAGGTGGGTTTGCCAGATCCTTCAAACCATCTCAAGTCGCGCCTGCGGGAAAAATGCGAACGGCTGGTCGAGACCGCACACCACAGACCGTTCGACCGCAGCCGTGAAATGGAAAGCCTGCGTCATAGTTGTTCTGGGAGGTTTTATGATATGAAGGATTGCAGCAAGGATACATGCAGTGGCAATCACTGTAACGCTTTGGACATCTGCCGGGCTATCGCTACGGTGCTCAATGAACTGGGAGTATTGATAAATAGGGTATCATCATACATAGTTGAGTAATTTACTTGACAGGACTGAACAGCACTTCTCCATCGGAGTCGTGGAGTTTGGATGAAGATTTCGACTTTCTGGAATGAAGAGGAGTTTACCTGATATATAAATACTCCTCTCTTTGTAAGCGATTTCACAAGTTCCTTGCGTATCGTCAGCGTCTATCCTAGATCAAATCCGTTAGCATCTTCTCTCACCGAAATTATTATCCTTAAAGCCTTATGTGGAAAGGGAGCAGAGGACTGGGAATCACGAATCGGTCGTGAATTTGCATTGGCGAGAAAAGGGGTCCGGCTCATGTCCAGTGAGAACTATACTCTTGGTCTTCTCTTGCGTCACGGAATGAGGAGGCTATCCATTCATTCCCTGAATTCAACGAGTGCATTCTGCTTCTACGGGAAGCACGATCCCTCTAATAGTATGACGGGCACATACATACTCCCGGTTTCCCGACGTTCATCTCGCACAGCATCCAAAACGTTTCAGACCACAATGCCCTCTCTCGATGCTACATCCATCCCACCGAGAAGAATGCTATTCGTAGCCTGCTTCTCGTGCGAATCCGCAAAGGTTCTATACTTATCATCATGCCACTGTTGCGCCGATATGGCACGACCCTCCGGATCCTCATACTTGAGGTCGTTCTCCGGACGCAAAAAGTAAGCAACGGAGTAGCGATGCTCAGTCGGCGTCTCGGTAGTCGGAACGACGCGGTGCATGCACGACGCCAACCTCTTGCCGGATAGAAAACGCAGCGAATCACCAATGTTGATGATGGCGTGCGCTGGGCGCGGCGCAACCCACTCCCATTCGTGGGTTTCGGGGCTCAGGATCTGCAGACCCCATTGCTTGCTGAAGAGGAGCGTGAGTGAGCCAATGTCCGTGTGCTGGTTGTGGCCAACGCAGGTGGAGGATACGTCCTTTGGATAGCGCAGGAGGACGAGCGTGGTGTTGGAGTCGGCTTCATCGCGGTGGTGTTGCTCGAAGCGGTCCGCGGGGTCGACGCATAGGGCGTTGGATAGAGATCGCATGATTGTCATGGTCACCAAGTGCGATTTGGAAATGAAGTCGTCGAAGAGGCGCGGGTAGCGTTTCACGGCTGAAGGCAGAAGTGGGGAATTTGCGCCCACTTCGTCACGGGCAACCTAGTCTGCGTAAGCGTTGAAGGCAAAGGTGAACCTGGTGCTCACGGGGTCATAGCATGACGCCTGTATGCACATACCTTGAGCGTCTCGTAGTTATCCTTGCTATTTTCCTTGACGCCAGCGAACACGCCCGGGGGCTTGTAACTGCGGCATACGATCAGTAAACATGGGACTCTAGTCGTTGTTGCATACCCATGTTTGTGAGTTCCGCGATCATCCTTCATCTTCACATCAAGCGGCTGATCGAAGTACTCGGCCATGGCCTGGTACATGCTCTCCTCGTCCTCGATAAGAGTGCGAGCACTCTGGCCCCGAAGATCGACGTAGAAGAATCCAGCAGTGGCACACGCAGATACCAGCTTGGAAATCTCGGCCTCTTCATGGGCAAGGAGTTTGGCAAAGTCGATGGTTTCAAGGTGAGCAACCTTGCTGTTGCTCTGCTCGTGCTGCATTGAGGGAGGCATGATGCGATGAAGGCCGGAGTAGGATGGAGAGACTTGTGTAAATTATTCTGAGCTACTGGCTTGTTCATAGCTATGAGCAATTTCCTATTTATACTTGAGCCGGACACGGCTGCTCCTCCTCGTCGTCGCTTGACGATTCTTTCATGACGACACACCGCAAATCTTCGATCTGCAAAACTGTGAGTACCACGGGACGGGCTCGACCTACGAGAAATCTGAATGGAGAGAGTTCGTACTCGTAAGCCCGTGCCCGCTCCTCTTTGGCAAAGATCCGAGGGTGGCTTTGAGGCCAAGGGGAATGAACCATGGAGCGGAATTCGGCCGTACGACAATGATGCAAATGATGGCGGACATATCCCGATCTCGGCCCTGTAAAGCTGGAGGCTTGAAACCTGTCATTGTTGGGCGTGTGTCTTTAGAATGCTCGCTGGCGTTGCAGTGGTGATGCAAAGGGTGAAGATCTCGGTTCTCGGCGCAGTGTGCGCGGTTTTCACGACCCGCGATTTGTCTTTCATTGACGGTACGCAGCTGGAATCCGAAAGAATCCGAGCGTGATGTCCGCTGATGGTAGCGCGAAGGAATCTAAGGACGCTTGCTTACGAGCGAGCCGCAGACAAAAGTGGCGCAGAGGTGAGGGGTAAGCGAGGGAAGAGTACGAACAGCAGGCAACGACATGAGGCAGACGCTTTTGACCTGTCGGCGACTTCGTGAGGCCACGTTCACGGGTGCATGGTTATTGAATGTTCAAGGGTGTAGCAGATCAGAAGGAATAAGGTCGGAGAGAGTAACGGGCCGCCCCGCTTAGAGTTCACGCCAACACACGTCATCCAACGCCAACGCCCCGTGTCCCCGACCAACCACAACACCGCGTTGAAGCAGCTGAGCACCCCATTGTCCAATTGCTGTTAGGGCTTTGCATTAACAGTTTGCCATCCCGTAAAAGGGAATTTAGCCGCTGCACCTGACTTCACTATTCTTAAGCTTGAGATCTCGATGGGGCATACTATATTCCAGTGAAAGTGCAGCACGATCGTTCGTCCTGGCGCTGGTAGCAAAACAAGCCTCTTGAGAGACATGTTCTTGCTTGGGTATGATCTAGTAATCTGCAAACCTGGTTAAAAAGCTAGGTCGCATCCTACAACTTCCCGTTCCTGCAGACGGCATTCATCAATCGGTGAAGCCAAAAGTCTGTGACTGCTCGGATGATTTGTGTAGCTGATATTTAGATCATCGCGCTGTGCCGCAACGCCCAGTTATGATCTGACCAAGGTGTTGCGTCATAGGGCTTCCCCACCCGTTCTTGTACCACCAGGCACCTCCACGAGTACGGGATCGTCCATTGGTTTCTTTGTCGCAGGGCCATCTTCCCCAGAAGTCCACCACCCATTCCAAGATGGAGAAGAAACAAAATACTGCATCTCACGCCGGCCCAGAGCTCGAACGAGGAGCCCATGAGGACGTCGGCAACAGGGTCGATTTCGAAGATCCGCACGATACATATAATCCCAAGAATTGGACTTTCGCGAAGAAAACCTTGAACACGTTGTTGTATGGACTTACGACGCTCGGCTCTACATGGGCAAGTGCGGCGTACTCCCCCGCGAACGAAATAGTTGTGCACGACTATGAAGTCTCTAGTGAAGTGGCCGTGCTAGGAACCAGTGTCCTTCTTCTAGGGTAAGTGGAGTAAGCGTATACCCGAGTTTCATCACTTATAGGGATGCAGTTTTGGCTTCGGTCCTTTGGTATGGGCCCCTCTTTCCGAAGTCTACGGGAGAAAGTGGCCTACAGTTGCACCCTGCTTCATTTCTGCTCTCTTCTCATTTGCCACTGGGGCGTCCAAGGATATCCAATCCATCATAATAACTCGCTTCTTTTGCGGATTCTTCGGCGCGGCGCCCATAACTTGCACAGGCGGCGTGTTTGCAGACATCTGGGACTCTACTCAGCGCGGGAACGCGATTGTTGGATATGCGTTGGCGGTGGCAGGAGGGCCAGTAAGAGACCAATATCCGATGATGCGCCGAACCAGACTGACTGAGAGACTAGGTACTTGCGCCTATCGTTGGAGGCGCAATTGTCGTGAGTGGGGTGTCGTGGAGGTGGACCGAATACGTACGAGCTTCCCTTTGCTAACGACAGCGCAAGTACTGACACTATCCAGATCACCGGAATCATCCAGTTGCTCACCGTTGTGCTCGACGCGGTATTCGCCTCAGAGTCCTACGCCCCTCGACTGCTAGTATCCAAAGCTCGGCGTCTGCGCATCCAAACTAAAAACTGGGCACTCCATGCCGAATACGAAGAGCTAGATGTCACCTTCGCCGAGCTTCTCAACAAATTCGGCGTTCGTCCCTGGCAGATGCTCTTCACGCCAATTTGCGGCCTCATCGCACTCTACGCTTCGTTCATCTACGGCGTGTTCTACGCTTCTCTCGCATCCTTTCCCATCATCTTCCAAGACGATCGCGGGTGGAATCCGCTGATTGGATCCTTACCTTTCCTTGCACTTCTGCTTGGGATCATTCTCGGCTCTGGACTCAACGTGCTCAATCAGGTTTTCTTCTACAACCCACGGCTGGTATCTCGAGGTACCGAAAAGGCCATTCCAGAGGCTCGCCTTCCACCGATGATGCTCGGGTCTGTTCTCTTCGCAGGCGGCTTGTTCCTACTTGGCTGGACATCGCATCCGCGCTTTCACTGGTGCATTCCAGCCACGGGTGCCCTGCTGGTCGGTTTTGGTTACTATACCATATTCCAGTCAGCCCTCAATTATCTCGTCGACACCTTTCAGCGCTGGGGTGCATCAGCTATTGCTGCGAATACCTTTCTGAGGAGTATTCTCGCCGCCTGCTTCCCCGCGGTTGTAATTCCACTGTATCGAAAGCTGGGGACAGGCCTTGCTAGCACTTGCTTCGCCGGGTTTGCGGTCTTCATGATTCCTATTCCTTTCCTGTTCTATCGGTGGGGAGAGTGGTTGAGGACAAGGGGGCGATGGAGCTCAAACATGGGTTGAATGCGGCTGTCGCAGCCCAAAAGAATGTGAAGGACCAAGTCATGCAGATACTGTGCACTATCCTGCACTCTTCCAAGATGCTATGTGCCCTAAGTGGAACAAGAAGCCTCGTTAGACGAGCGGTGTTGGAAGCGGGGAAGCTGTGGGGTAACAGCTGTCAGACCGAGGCGTAATTCTCGGCACGCTACTCGCAGCCCTTCGTTTCAGAACCCGAGCGTCAGCTTTGTTCCCCACTTCTCGAGCGGAGACATCAACTTTGATCATCGTCCGCCCTTTTCCAAATACCAACCTCTTACTAAGAGTCTCTTCCCTCTACCTAGGTAGACTGCCACGTGGGTCCTGAACGCTGACATCATCGCCCTTTCCGACACGTTAAACGTTTCGCTAAATCCAGCCGCGATTGGCCACGAAGTCCGGGATACGAACACCCAGAGCATGCCGCCACTCCACAGTGAAGATCTCCAGGAACCTCAGCCTTGTGTTGCCTACAAATTTGTTGATCTCCGCCGAGCTCGCCTAAGCTTGGTGGCCCAAGAATAAGCTCCGTGGCGCAAGCTTGTCATGCTTTTTCAGCCGCTTGGCGATCTTAAACATTTGCAGTAAGATTTGCTCTACAATATATTAATACCCTAATGGACGCTGCAGGTACGAGAATTTGATAGCCGCCGAAGACGGCATCCCTTGGGGCTATTTCTCGAGTTTCGTATCTCGTATACATTTCGTCTTAATCTCACGGCATCTTGCAGAGCCTCCAACCTATTTCCTACGTCTACGGGTAGTATCCTCTCTTGGCCTTTCTTGCCTGTTTCTTGTTCAAGGCAGAGTTTTGCATATCATCTTATGATGCCCGGCCGTCTTCCGAGTTCAAGTCCGTTTTAGTGCCGATGCTTTCCCTTTTGGGGAGCTCTATATGAGGTCTACAAGGCGACCTTGGAGTTTCACGATGCTGGAAAGCTTCAGCTCACTCTGGCACTTCTATAGCCCCAATAGGATCGACTTTTTCGAAGTCCGTATACGGGGACCTTCCGCTTCAGCTCAAGGCAGCCCTAGAAGCCTAGCAAGACTTCTAGTGAGAGTCGGACAAGAATGATCGATATCAGGAAGGGCATAAGTGTCAGAAGATGTATAAATATGAGCTGCTTCCACTCCGAAAGAACCTCATCACATCAAGTACCCAGCATCGACCCCAGCTCCATCGCCTTCTCACAGCTTCAACCTTTCACTTCAACAATCCATTTATCGATCAGCATGCGTTCTTTCGCCATCGTCTCCGCTCTCTTCACCGCAGCCGCCTTTGCTGCTCCGGCTACAAACGCTGACACCGCCCTTCTCACCCGCACTCCTGCCATGTCCGATGTTGAGGCTTCTGCGCAGAGCCTGATGGATGCTAAGGTTGCTGCTGGTTGCAACCTTCTCGGTGAGCTTGCATCATCAAAAGTGCTTGAAATATGCATCTGATCTCTCTCTAGGATGCCTAGCTGCTCTTGCTCCAGCTTCGGTTACTTGCGCCGCTGCTCTCGCTGAGGAAGGGCTCAACCCGATTGCGGACGCTGCTTGCTTCGCTTCGGCCTTGAACAACATTGCCAACCCCGTATGATGGCCTTCCCAACTTCCGTTCAGAAGCTAACAGCACATAGCCTGCGGCTTGCGCCAACTGCTGAGCGATATGATTTGGTCGGACCGGCGATTCAGGGTCGTTTCTTACTGTTTAAGCGTTCTTCGGACCGTTTACGCTCGTTTCCTGCTGTTCGACTGCTTGGAGATGAATTTTTATCTGTAGATATTGCTTTGCAATTGATTGAGCTCCGTCACTGATGTTCGCATTGCCCTCGGTGCTGGCGCTCGCCGAATACGGTTAGTGCAGTCTAAGCCATTTTGGATTAGACCGAAACTTCACCCTTCCACGTCAACACTACGGGTCCCACCTGAGAACAGCGCCATTCCAACCCCAATAGTCCGAAAATGGAAAGAGATGCGAAATTTGTACATCGTTTTCGCCAACCGCGATGGGGCTCCCAAGGCAACGACGCACCGTCTGACACCCACGGAGCGTCATAGCTGACAAATGGACCTGCGTATGATGAAAGGCGGGGATCAGCAGTAGCAAGGTGTCCTCGCGTCTGGTATGTATATAGCGAAGCGTGGAAGCTCAAACTGTCTTTTCTTTGGCCCCGCACTTCTGCTCTTCGCTCCCTAACAAACGCGTGCTATGCCTTCGAACACAGGCTCTTCCCGCTGGCGGCATCGTATCTGTACGGTGACTACCTCATCAGGAGAGCCAATCCGCCTCAACTACATTGACTGCCCTCCTCCCTCTTCCGTCGACTACAAAGGCGTCATCCTCCTCATCCACGGATTCCCCCAAACATCGTACCAATTCCGCCATGTCATCACACCGATATCCGACGCCGGATACAGAGTCATCACCCCCGACTATCGCGGAGCTGGGATGTCGTCCAAATCTATGGCTGGATATGAGAAATCCCAAATGGCTGAAGACCTGCATATCCTCATCCATGCGCACCTGGGCATCAAAGAGAAGATCCACGTCTTGGGCCACGACATCGGCGGCATGATCGCCTTTCCTTACGCATGTCAGTATGTGGAAGATGTCGCGAGCCTTATATGGGGTGAGTGCCCGCTCCCGGGAACGAGCATCTACGAGAACGTCAAGGGAATACCGGATGTCTTCCACTTCGTCTTCCATCGGATTCCGGATCTACCTGAAGCGCTGATTGCGGGGCGTGAACGCGAATACCTGAAGCATTTCTTCGATAAGCAAATGTACAACAGCGCTGCGATTGGACCGGCTGACTTGGAGCACTACACGCTTTTGTACTCTCAGCCTGGGGCGATGAGAGCCGCGCTGGAGGTGTACCGAGCATTTGAGAAAGACGCAGAGGAGAACAGGAAGTGGTTGGCGGAGAACGGGAAACTGAAGGTTCCGAGCTTGTTGATGACGGGAAACGAGTTTTTGCTGGCGCCGCATACGGGTACTATGAAGGATGAGGTGCACGAGGCGGAGACCGCGGAGGTGTTGATGGTAGAAGGAAGTGGTCATTATATTGCGGAAGAAAACCCGGAGGCATTTGTGAAGGGAGTTTTGGGATTTGTTGGGAAGCACGGGTAGGATGGTTCCTTTTCTTCATCGAAACCGTTCGCGCATTCAGGACGAGTATTCCTGTTCCGTGCACAGGGCTTTCAGAACCGAACACTACCTCGAACATTCATTGCTTTTTGTTCTCGGACCTTCACACGTGTTCTCCAATTGCAATTTTAAAGGGCTTCCTCACCACGATTACGTCGCCGTCTGGTTTAGATAGAATTGGGTATTGTGAAACCGCTCTATCGCTCGGGCGAACTGAGTCTATGGGTACCAGCCCTTAGAATCCGCCCATTCTTGATCCGAATTGACTTCCAGTGCCCCTTCGCCTTGAGCTTCCACCGCTCATCGGACCTCCAAAGCCCGGACGAGTAGATCCTCCACCAGTTGGGCCTCCAAAGCCTGTACGAGAAGTTCCTCCGCCAGTTGGGCCCCCGAATCCTCGACGAGAGCCTCCTCCTCCCATCGTTTCCCCATATTCCGACCCAAACGCACCTCCTCCCATCACTCCGCCGAAACCTCCACGAGAACTCATTCCACCCATCTGCCTATCACGTCCTCCTATTGTTCCCCGAAAGCTTCGGGAAGAACTCAGCCCACTCGTCCGCCCGCCGCCTCTACGAGAAGTCATTCCACCAGCCCCAAAAATGCTATGTGCTGCGCCACCTAAGTATTGCTCGATTTCGGGATAGCGACCGGGATTCTCCCGTAACCAAAAGGGCCAGAATGTGCTCGGATCCTCCCCAGCCGCCATTATGTCCTGCTTCATTTGCTGCATCTCTGGCAGATTGATGAATTCATCTGCCAGGGCTTCAGGGTCAAAGTTGAGAGGGACTGATACGCCTCGCGGTGGGCCGCCGAAGCCATCGCCGCCATAGCGACCCCCAAAGCTGGAGCTGCCCCCGAATCCTGAGCTACCTCCATAACCGCCTCCGAAGCCTCCGCCATATGCGCCGTGTCCTCGTCTTGGAAACATATTTCGTTATCGCAAAGTGTGGTAAGATTTGTGTATCCGGATATCGCTCTCTCTATTGAGTTTTCTTCGTCTATAGGGATTCTGTAGGTAGAAGTATTGTGCTGAGTATGTTAATGTATGCGAAGGAGGAAAAAGAAGGCAACTTTGGGAGACTTTTATACTCTTTCCGGGCTTGGCATGTCGCTCACTGAGAAGGGCAGCATTGAAGTGGCATGTGACAGCGTTGCCGATGTTCACATCCCCCTTGTGATCAGGTCGAGCGGATTGAATGACTGCGAATAGTCGGTGGACTTGTTCACAGAGCGCCGTCATCCGTCACTTTTCCATGAGAGGCAGGCTCTCCGTAAGTGACCAACTACGGGAAGGAGTGCTCATAGAAAAAGCACCTATATTGATGTGTTCTCCGCCCGACAGAAGACTCAGGATCAAGCTCCAGCGCTGAACACCAGACGATTAGTGCAGCGACTTACAACGCTCGCAACACCGACAAAAACTGCTGCATAACCCTTCCACGTCTTTCATCAACGCTTGCTTAAGAGAGTAGCTGCGACAAAAGAGAGAGGTGCGCCCCAAGCCCCCTAGTGGATTCCGATAGTATTAAAAGCGAGCTATCCGTAACTCCCTATTAGTTTCGCCTCTCGCCTAGAAACCTTGGTCACAGTATGTCTCGTTACCCCGTTGGATTTCAGGCGATATTCTTTCCCTTCTGCTCCTTCACAGGCAAGTTCGTCGCTAAGTCCGCAGCTTTATTGAAATTAACAGCTACAAAACTGTGAAACGAAGGCTAAGGCCTACGGTGACGTCGACGTCAGTCTTCCACAGTGCCGGACACATAATTTTGGACACATGGGCTACTCCCTAATCACCAGTAATTGCTCGATCGATAGATTTGCCAGAAGCAATGAGTCATTTAATTAGTTCTTTTCCTCAGACCGACGTAAGATACTTTCCAAAGAATTCCACGCACTTCTTCCCGGCCTCATCAACGTGATCATAGAGGTCTGCATGCGTCAGTCCCTCAATAACAAGCAGCTCCTTTGGGTCTTTGGCCTTCGCAATCCCATCCTCGCTATACCACTTCGTAGCAGCCTTTGTGCCGGTGATCATCAGTAAAGGCCGCGGACTAATCATGTAGTTGTGAGCGAAGGCATCAAAGTTCGCCATGATATCCCAGCTCCTGGGCAGGCAGGTATTCGGTGCGCGCTCGTGAGGTTGCCGTTTGCGGTAATACTGCGCGAGGTCTTGGAAGGAGGGAGGGAGAGACGCCGCATCTTCGAGCTTGTCCGGAAGCATGTGGATGGCGTCAACGGGGGCGCCGGTAACGTCGGAGTTCTGGTCTGCGGCTGCGGCTTCGAGCTGCTGTTTCAGGACGTCCATGTTCGACGAATCTTTGTCGTACCCGCGGCGAGCCATAGTGCCTACGCAGACTGCTGCGCTTGTAGCGACAGCGCGGATCCTTAGGTCGGTCTGAGCGGCAAAGGGCGCATAGCCGCCTGAGGCACATATGCCCAGCACGCCAATCTTGTTTGAGTCGACGTCTTTGCGGCCGATGAGGTATGTCACTGCTGATTTGATGTCTTCGACGCGATGATAGGAGTCTTCGAGCGAGCGCGGAAGTCCCTCAGATTCGCCCTGATAGGCAGCGTCGTAGGCGAGGCAGATGAATCCTGCTGCCGAGAGAACGCATGCGTAATTGGCTGGAGATTGCTCCTTAATAGACGTCCATGGGTGGCAGATAACAATGGCTGCGCCGGAGCGGTTGGGAGAGTTTGGCCCGGGGTGGTAAAGGTGTGCTGCTAGTTTGAGATTGCGAGAGAGAAAGGAAACGTTTTCTCGTTGGGCGGATGGTGAGGACATGTTGAGACGAGAATCTGTATGCTTTCGAGGAGGGTATAACTGAGATCCCAGCTTCGTACCTCTCTTGTATGCCAGAAATACAACCGACTTTTATATTGCTTGGAGTGTTCCGAAGATCGTCGGAACGGGAACATCACGTGATCATCTAGTCGGAGCGAGCTGAGGAGTTGTGACGTGCGTCCGAAATCTGTCGGCAAGGTGTCCTTTATCGTCCACTCCGATGGTATTCGGCATGCTAATTGAGCTCGATGTAGCTGCATCGCTGCGTTCGAGCTACAAAAATACTCCGGCGACGGTGCCCGTCACAATTGCAATAACCTCTTTTTAATTCTGGGCCAGACATGTCCTAGGCGCAGTCGACGAACCTGGTACGAATCGTGTGGAGCGTGCTTCCCATAAGAATGGCGGGTGACAACGTCAATGTCGCAGCGTTGTCAGTGTCACAAACGAAGGACGGGGCTTTTGATATAGGCGCAGATAATCCACAATGATTGAGTAGAAATCAAGGAGGAAGATATGCAAGACTAGAGAGGAGCCCTCGGCTGCTCGGCACGAGGCGAGTGCACGGACCGAAAACCTAGCTTATCAGCCACACTAGGCAGCCACATCATGAAGAGGAAAGGGTCCGTCAATAGTCCATCTTCCATCTTCCCCGGATATCAACATCATGCCAAAGCAGTTCGCCAGAATATGAACATGCTAGTAACGCCTCGTTTAATGCCTGTTCGCCCATCCCAGCTACCACTGTCTCAAACGCTGAACCGCCTTTCGAATCAGCACGCCAGAAGCAAGCCTCTATCACGCCGAGATCTGGATGCACACATCCTTTTCCTACTTCATAGTCATTCCTATGAAATCTGCTCGCCACCAGGTCCAGGATAATCCAACAAGAACAATCGCAATCGTCTCAACAATACTAGCTGTCCTTTTTAGGTGCGCTGCATCCCATTCTGAGTCTGACCATGAATTTCTACCAAGAGTTACACCTCTTCTCCGACTGCCCCGTAATCCGACTCTTAGAGCTCCATCTTTGCATCCAAGTCGATAACGTCCCTGAAATTGAAGGGAGTCTAACCACTCACGATCTTCGAGACCTTCCCAATTTCGATGCGCTTTCCTATGCGTGGGGCCCAAAAGACCTGTCGGCGCACATAACCCTTCATGGCGAAGTATTTCTAGTGTCCCAGACTCTGTTTGCTGCCCTGCGACAAATATGTGTCAACCAACAGGGAGCTCCAAGAAAGCTGTGGGTCGACGCTATTTGCATCAACCAACACGACAATGCGGAGAAATCGCATCAAGTGATGCTCATGAAGGATATTTACGCCAGTGCGAACAGGGTGCTTTCATGGATAGGTGCGTTCCACAGTTGATTCCCCCTTCATTCCAAGCTTGATATTAACAGTGGTCTTTGATACCAGGGCAGCCTGACCAACTCAGCACGCTAGCATTTGATACCCTGAAACGATTCGCCGCCGACGATGGAACCCCAAATGGAAGTGCCACATACCGAGGCATTCTGAAAGAAGTGAACGAGAGACGAGCAAGCCTCGACCTCGTACTCCAACGAGGGTACTTTTCCCGCTTATGGATCGTCCAAGAAGTCGTCGTGGCAAGAATGGTGACGGTCCTCTGCGGTTCTTTACGTATTGATTTCGACAAACTGCGTATAGCGCTTCAGAGAATGACCGGCTCCGGATTTTACCGTTTCTCGTCATCTATAGCCAAAGTTGTGTACATTGGCTCGTGGAGAAGCTCCTTTCATGAGACGGACTATCCGGACGGGGAGCGGTATCTTGACGTACGACTATTCGAGGACTCTCGCGATAGAATTGCTGCCGATGCGCGTGATAAAATTTATGCGCTACGAGGTATCGCCAACAAGGCTCTAGGTACCTGTATCAAAGTGGACTACGACGATGCTGTCGAAACTGTGTACACGGACTTCGCCAAAACAGTTTTGAGTCTCCGCCAGGATCTTCAGATTCTTTCCGCGATTTATCTTCGACATGGTCGGATGTCGACCCTAAGCCTTCCGTCGTATGTTCCGGACTGGTCACTTCCCAAGTACGGAGGAGGGTTTCTGCAGAGATATTATCGGTTCAAACCTACACATGTATTCCGCGCTGCCGGCACATCCATTCCCCGAGTTAGCTTGACCGAAGGCTCGAACACAGTCGGCATCCAAGGCTCTCGCCTAGATGTGATCTCTCGCGTTATCCCGATCAAGTCTCTCTTACACACTGGAGATGGCGACTCAGTGGTCGTAGATGAAACTATCCTTCGAGAATTGTCGGCAACTGCGAGTCCATCTCTCACATATGGCTTTACCAACGAGCCATCTTGGGTAGCATTCTTTCGAACACTGACTGCGGATCGTACGGCTTTATCCCCGCGCATCGATGAAACGTACTGGTCTCAGTACTTCGGCGCATACTCAGAGGCCAGTCGGCGTAACTCATCAGGGGACATCAGCAGTCTGCCGTCGTCATTGTGGGAGGCGTTGTCTAAGGACGTAGGCATTATCATCGAGGACAAAGATATGTTCGTGACTGCCCAGGGCTACTTTGGCCTTGGACACGAGGGCCTTGGCGAAGGTGACGTAGTTTGCATTCTTTTGGGAGGGGAAGTTCCGTTTCTCCTCCGGCAGACTGGACAAGGAGGTCAGCAGGCTCGATTTCGGTTCCTGTGTGAATGTTACGTTCATGGTGTTATGGATGGAGAAGCCGTGAAAGGTCCGGAAAGCGGCTCGCTGGAGGAATTTCTTATCGACTGAGCGTTCTCAATGTCACGCCCTTGACTCCTATCACTGTTGGGGTCTCGTCTCCCGGGTACGGTGTTTCAGGTATATCCTCCACGACAGCTGGTGTAGGTGAGATCAGAACAAATGGCGGCAGAGCGTCGCACAGAATAAAGTTAAATTGATGCTCTTGGATATAAGGACCACAAAACCGGAAGACTATGAGAGCCGAGGACATTTGAACCCCTGGAGGGTTGATCATCTACCTGCACGTGACCTCGCGATGGCGGGGTTTCTGATAAGCGCTTATCGCTCGCCCCTGCCCCGCAAGATTCGGCGACATGCGATCAACAAGCAGTCAAGACACATCCACAGCAGCCAACATGGTGAAACACATTGTCTGCGTAGGCGCGGTTTACATTGACACGGTCATGAGGTAAGTCAAGGTGCATTCCCGTTTTGTCGCAAAATGCTGAGAACCCAGCGTGCCGCATTTCCCCGTCGAGGACCAAAAACTCCGCGCCTCGGGGCTCACGCGACGGCGGGGCGGGAATTGCGCGAACACCCTCGAAGTCCTGTCGCAGCTGGTTTTCCAGCAAAGCGGCTCTGATACAGAGGGTTCCGAATCGCCCTCGGGAAATACCCAGATCCACCTGCTGTCGGTCCTCCCAAGCAAGCAGTCTGATGCTGTCAAATTCGTGCGCGATTCACTGAAGAACGTCAAGATGAACAACTCTTGCATATTCCGACCAACCTTCGCTGAGGCAGCGTCCAGCTTTATTATCCAGAACGAGTGGAATAACTCGCGCACTATTGTCAGCTACAATGAGCTGCCGGAGATGACGACGAAGGAATTCATCGCGAAAGCATTCCTGCTTACCCAGGTGGAGGACGCGCTGGAAGGATGGTATCATTTTGAAGGGCGAATACCGGAGGTCACGCGCCAGTCCGTCGACTACCTGCGATCAGCCAAAGAGCAGAGAGGATTCAAGATCAGTGTCGAGTGCGAGAAGCCTGAGCGACAGTACATGGGCGTCGTTGCCCAGTCGGCTGACTGTGTATTCTACTCGAAACTGTGGGCTGAGGTAAGTAGATTATCTCGTTGCTCGATGCTCTGCTTACTTGCATCAGTCTCAAGGGTATGGTGACCCCCGGGAGTTCTTGGAAGAACAATTAGACGGGACGAAATACGAGTAGGTGTTAAATTTGCATGGAAGGGCTTGATGGGCATCCGCTTGGCCATGTCATACATGCCAACTTGAGAAATTGGCATTGTGCTGACTGCGCCTACAGTGCTATCCTGTGCTGCACATGGGGCGCAGGCGGTGCTGCCGCTGTCCAGAAAAGGCTCGAAGGGGACGAAATCTGGGCTGACGTACCGGCATGGCGACCCACTATTGGCCCCTCGATAGTCATCGATACAATCGGTGCGGGAGATACGTTCATAGCCGGCATGCTCTACGCCCTGGCATGCCACGAAGACTGGACTCTGAAGCAAAAACTCGACTTCGCGAACGAAGTCGCAGGTCGTAAAGTTATCCAGGATGGATTCAAGGGCTTGGTAGCGAATATGCGCCCACACCTGAACCCCCGCGATCAAGCGTCAAGCCATCGACTGAGAACTGTGGACTGAAAGCCACGGCCCAACTGATTTCCTTCTCACTATCGACTTATTTAGCATGCCTATGATCGGCTACATGCTCTTAATTTTCTCTTCCCACAAGCCCTTCGCGTTCCGATGGAAAACATCCTCTTTCTCTTCCGTGGAGAGGACGTCAGCATTAGCAAGTCTGGCGATATTAGCATTCACACCCCAAAAGCCTATGCCATACGGGTAGTCCTATCATCTGTTAGCGAGGAGTCTGGCATGAGCGGCTTGTATACTAGCATGGGGTAATGAAGCAATGACTGAATGGTAATGATTCTACACTCACCGTTCCAAACACAAATTGCGAGACCGGCACGTCGTGCGCCAGAAGGCCCTTGATCTGCCGTGGGTACACTGGCCCTGCACTGTCGTACCAGAAGCGGCTTGCATAAAGCTTTCGCGCTTCTTCGGCATCTTTAGGGAAGCCTAGCAGAAAGCGGTCCGAGATGTCGGGAAAGGCGCCTGCACCGTGCGATACACGCCAGTGCAGGTTTGGATATTTTATGATGGTCCTGTTTGCAGTGATGCTAGATATGGCTCGCGCCGTCTCGAAATAAAATTCGCCTAGTCCGGATCTGAGAGGAGCTACTCATTCCATTAGCTGGTGGGTTTTTCCCTGACTTACTTGAGAGTCTTTTGCTTAGACTTACATGGCTTTGAATTCACCAGCCTCCCATCGTCCAACCTAATCACCGGTTCCGTAGGATGAATGAACACAATCTCCCTCCCATCACCTTTCGTCGCTCGCTCTTGTAGACACGTCCAAAACGGATCGAACTGCTCCTCGCCGGGATATAGACCCTCGTGATTCGTCATAACACCTACACCAACGGAGCCTAGTTCTTCCAACGCGTACCGAATCTCGCGGACACTCTCTTCCACATACGGCAACGCCGTTACACACATCCAACTAAACCGCTCCGGATACACTCGAACCAGCTCTGCTACGAACTCGTTCAGCAGCCTGGCGAGCGCAACGGTCTTTAGCTTATCGTCCAGGAAGGCATTGGCCTGTGGCGTTGAAACGCAGAGGACAGAGTGCGCAATCGAGTGCTCGGACATGAACTGGAGGTGCGAGAGGGCATCCCAGGATGGTGTTTCGCGGCCTGCTGCGAGTGGTTGAAGCGTGCGGAACCAGGATGGGACGGGGTGCGTGTGAGTGTCGATTCTGGAGGCATTGCTGAAGGAGGGCAGTTCTGTGGCGGGGATCGGGTTGGTGGAGAGGTTGGAGATGGAATCTAGAGCTTCAGAAAGGAAGGGCAGCACGGTGAGGTCGATGTTGTCGCGTGATGCATTGGCTTTGATGCGGGATATGCAGGCGGGCTCGGATGCCATTGCTCTCGTTGATACAACGAGACTGAAGGTTGTGAGAAAGAGGCGACGGCGCAGTCGCTTCGATGTCAGGCAATAATATCGACAAAGGCAGTAGTTGGACACACATTGATGGAGGTTGGGGAGAAGGAGGAACGGAATCTCGGTGGATTTGGCGATAGATGTGACGTTGCGTGCGCATTTCAACTGTCGTGCTCCGACTCCCCGCCACTAGGCAGCCAATCACGTCGTCGTACTTTGAAACCAAGTCGACTGAGACTCTAATATGAGCGAAGACGTTTAGGAGCTCTCATCTTACGAGCTCTCTTTGTTATATTGACTGCACTAGATATTCTGAGAGCGAAATGAGAACGCGAGAAGCGGAAGCTAGTGTGAATAGGCGATCACGTGACAGTGTTACGACTTGCCCTCGTGCGCGACTCTGCTGAGCGTTCTGAGTTTCCCAATTTTTTTTTTCCAGCAGTTAAATTCATACAGAAGCTTCGCATATTTTGCGAATATTGAGACGTTATGTTATCCATTGATCCTCCCTGACTGCCAAGCATTCGCGCAAGTTCCGAAGTTCGCGTCATTTCGCGCATCGTTCCCTCCACCACATTCATCGCATCTCGCGTTCTCTCCGCGCGCCCGGGTCCTTTACATATGTTAAAGCGTTTAGAGTGTCATCCACTCCTTATGCCGACGCTAATTGCTGGGTGGGCCAGAATGCCAGACGCTTTCCGGTCCTAATCCGCCTAGGAGCCGGGAACACGCCAAACGGCCTAGCGCAGTAGTCGTTGTAGAATATTGGCACCTTTTCAACGAGAAAAGATCCCAGAAGCTTCAACGCCTTTTGGGGCAGCACGCATTAGTCCTAGTCTGCACGTCAAATGGTGAGATTGTATTCATGCTACACGTCGTATAGGCAATTCGCCATTCGCTTACTCTATACGACAGGCGCAATATAAGTCCACGCATTCCTTCATTTCTCCCTTCGCCCGTTACCGATGATGCGACATAATACCTTTCGCAACGTCCCACACAGTCGACACCTGCGTCCTAGTGTACATATCGTTTTCCCAACTCCTACTCGCTTACTGCGCCCTCTGCCTCTTCCGATGTTGCGAATGCGTGTATTCCGGCCTTCGAAACTCAATCCCTCGCTCCTCCGCCAACCTGCGAGCGGCGTTCGCCCTGCTCTTCGGGAGGAATTTACCTGATGCCTCGATAAGGCCGCCCTTCTTGTTCATCTTGATCGTTTGAAGATACTCGTCGGTAAACCCCTCAGACCAGTTGCTCGGAGCCTTTTCTTCAGGTGGGTTCTCGGTGTCCTCGGGTCGTTTAATTGCCTCCGGCGCTTGCCCATTTGGCTGGGTGGCCTCTGGTGGTGCTGGCTCAAGTGGCAACGCCTGTGCTTGCTTCAGGATGGCTATGCCCTCATGGCTGGGCTCCATTTTGAGTGTGATAAGTGGACTGTTGACGATTGCTCGGAATATGCGGTCGACGTTCTCTGCCTCCTCCCTCGCCAGCGAGATGATGTTCGCACCGAAGCGATGCGCGGAGCCCACTCGCTCACTAGACCACGGCACTAGGGACCTGGGAGGATGCCGATCTGCATCGAAGTTGTAGAACTCGAATGACGGGGATAACGATCCTGCGACTAGAAGGATCTGTGAGCGTGGTGGCACGTCAGCACTTGTCTCGGGCTATAGCAGGAAGGAGTTCCCACCACGCTATGCCTTTACCTATGCTCGGTCCGTTGAAGGCCTTTAAAAATGGCTTTCCAGATCCAGCATCAAGGCATGCTGGGGTCATACTTACAACACTACAGTTTCGCGTCTTCCTCCCATCGATGCCCAGGACTCGGTCGCCATCAACGTAATAGGCTGACAACTCCAGCTGAGCAGAACGAACGCTGCCACGCTCTGGGTCAGTGATAATGACTAGGATGAGGTCGATCCGGAAGATTGCCGACTGATCCTTCTTCAGAACCACCCAATACTGAGTCCCTTTTGAAGGCACGCCCTGCACGAGGTTCTCCGGCTGCTCATCCAGCCTCCTGATGAGGAACCGCGGCCCCGAAAAATAGTTCTGGAGCAGCGTTGCGATCAGTTGGTTTGCGACTTCAAGCCGGAACGGGTACTCCAATCTCTTTTCAGTGACCGTGAACTTGAAATCAGCATAGTGCTTCACGAAGTTGCAGTACGCAAGCGCCAGTGGCTTTGGGAATATTGGAATCGGCGACGGTATGACGGCTTTCCCGTGTTGATCGACTTGCCAGTGTGATTCCCTGCCTTCCATGGACATGAACTCTAGGTTCACATGGCATGCCCTGTTGCGACTAGAGCTCTTCTTCTCTGCTAGTGAAGATTGCTGCTCTTCCTCGACTGGAGTGGAATGACGAATTCGACTGCGTGTGTCTCCCATGTCTGTAGTGGCCGTTCCTGCAAGAATGGTTGTCTTGAGCGCGTATGCTTGGAGGTGCGCAAGAGTGCAATCAGCGTATGTTTTGGCTGACTTTTGGCAGAGAGCGATGTGCTAGGCCCGCCAAATGGGAACGCACTCCGAGTTTGGGTCTTCCCCCTGGTGAAAGAAGTTCGCGGTCCGCGGTGGGCCTACCGCGGTGATGTGGTCCGTTTGTTTACCCTGATGAGCGGCGACTGAGCAGAACTTATAATCCTGATTGGGAAGATGCTGCCCCTAATTGGATGCTGGAAGAGTCGGTGAATGGGTTAGCACCAGGAGAAGGACCCGAGCTCGGTTCTCGCTAATGTGGGACTTCACAGGCACCACCCGCGAAGAAAGTTGGACATGTTCGAGAAACCTCCGAATTCCATTTCAACATCTGGAAGGATGCTTCACCCCGTCCTACCGAGACCGAAACGAATCCGAACCCTTCTTTCCGTCGAAGCCCCGCGAAGCCGTCTAGGTGGCTAAGATAGTCGGGCTCCTGAATGCCATACCAGCACCCCATCAATGTTGCACTTCGCCCCACTGAAATCTCCACGATCCCAAAACCCCGACTCCTATGAGCCTCGCAGAAACATCCATAGAAAAAGAGCAGCGGCAGAAAGGCAGTGGCAGCACGATAGGGGCATATCCTCCCATAAAACCCATTACGTACCTTGGTTCATCGTTTAGAGCGAATGTACAGGCTCCATCCAAAGCGTTCCTGGAGTTCACAATTCATAAATATTCCTCAGTTTCCGGCGTGGAGGAAGTCCAGAACGGCACCGAAGCCAACTCGTGGGGGACGGCCCGGGGGAGGGCGCGGGGGAGGGACTCCGGCGTGGGGCGGTACAGGCGGGATGGGCGCGCCGTGTACTGTAAAGACATTGTTAGCAGCACTTAGAGGAGCATCTTGGATGGTCAATATCAACTGACCCATATGGGCAAGGTCCAAGGCATCGATGACGTAGTTACCCGGATCGGCCGCGATGTTGCGAATCCCATGAGGACAGCCAGCAGCATGCTGCATCGTCGGGGTATACTGCACGAGACAGACCCAGCAGAAGTCGAAGCCACAGCGGTTGCCTAGCGGTAGATGGTAAGTCAACCCGTGAGTCCCGAGCTTCGGCAAATACTTACAATGCATGTGATCACATCCACCATTCTTCTGGATATTGACACCGCAGCCCGGGCAAGGCTTCGCGCCCATACCCTTGATTGCCGTCTCGGACTTCTTGTTCTCTGCATTCCTATTCTTGTCGCAGCTGCCGGACGGGTGCCAGGGCCGGTTGCAGGTAAGGCAGAGTTCGTATGCGCAGTATGGGCATTCGGCCTTCTTTTTGGCCTTTCGCTTACTACTGCAGTCTTCGATGGAGAAGTAGCGACCGCATCCGGTATTCAGACAGGCGATGAAGCTCTCACTAGATCGGAGGTGGTGCTTAACGAGGGCTTTGTCCCAGCTTTATCGAAACGTTAGCGTTTCTTGTCCCAGAGGGTTTCGGATTACGACCTACTCCTCAAAGAGAGTCTTGCAGGCCATCACCTTGACCGTCTCAAATGCAAGCTCGTGACCACACTGAGGAAAGGGACAAGCCAGGGTCGCGTCGTTCAGCTGCCGGTTTGTGACCTTGGACTTGAGCATGTTGCCTACGCACGGCGAACAGATGTTGACGAAGTGCTCGCAGACCTTGACCTTCGCCGGCTTCTTAAAGTATTTGACAAGCTTGGTGTCCGCACAAATCGCACAGTCCTTGCGGGCGGGCGGGCGGGGCGAGACGCGGGCCGCCTTCGTGAGTTTAGCTGGGCGCAACTTCGAGATGCGACCGTTGTGCGTGCGCGAGCTGCCCGAGGCCGGATGCTTGGCTCTCGTCTTCCTCAGTGTCGGCGGCGGCGGCGAATCTGGCACCACGACCGGGTTGCGCTGGCTGCCTACGCGCGCTTGAGTGAGACGTCTGTAGTCAATGCGGCGGCCAGGGTCTTTGCGAAGTCGCGTGTGCGGCGCCATGGTTGCCTACTGGTCAGTTGCGCGTGGACCAGGGTGCGGTTGGTGGTGTGGAAAAGAGCCGAAGGGGCCACGAACGAATTGCTGTAAATAAGGGCGGCCGCTCGGGGTCTGTGCGCTGTCGGAGTCTAGGTGAAGAAGCGGCTCGCGGTCGCGCGGGCAACGGTGAAGTAGAGTGTCCGGTTAGCTTGGGTGTGGTGATGATGAGCAGCATGGTGCAAAAGGATACACGAGGGATCTCACCAAACATGAGAGCCTACGCGCCCGAGAGCGCCCAAAGAGCGCAAGAACAGAACGTCGGCATTGGGACTGAGGTCAACGACGAAGCTATCCATGTCTTGCGGTATAGATCTCTTCCTCGATTCTCCGCGCGCAGCAGAGAGACCAATGAAGAGAAAAGAGGGCTTGAGGCAGTACTGGTAGGTCCACGCGACACCGGGGGTACTGGTCTCCTCAAGCAATGCAAAGAGGCAGCAGAGCTGCTGCGATGACGCACGACCCAAATGGGAGGAGATCTCGCCATAGGCACATACCATGAGGCAGCGCCCGCACACATCCTAGCCAAGACACCGCCACCAGGCTTTGCAACCTCCACCATGGCCCAGCAGTTTCCAGGTACACGACCGATGCCGAATCCACGGAGTACCCAGGCACCAAGGTACGTGGGTACGCGCTTCTATCCGCATACGATAGCGCACGTGCAACCTGACCGGTCTCCACGACGTTAACGCGACTTGTACACAAAAGTGCACGCATCCGCTGGTTGGCTGACTTTTCGTCTAGGTGTTCTCGGTAGGGGAGCTGGATTCGTCCGTCGTCAGAAAGCCCCAGCCGGCTCTCCAACTAGCCACCCTTTGTCGATTTTATGCCGACTGGACCATGAACAGTCCCCCCAGGGCGCTAAGCCTCGCCCGTAGAAAGTGGCCATGGCCCGCCGAGGAGGCGTATATGCGAAGAAGTGAAGTCTATAGTGGTTAGCAGAAACCTTGGGAGTGGGCTCACCGGCAGCGCCGCAATGATATTGCCCGAGGGCGTTTCCATGCGGTAGGCGTTGGTTGACGCTAGCGTCTTGGGCGTCGCGATTCCGGAGTAGTGAGTCGAGGTCGAAGCCGCAAGGTGAAGGTGAGTGAGAGGCGGAGGGGCTGGGACTTTATAACGGAAGCAAGAAGTGTATGAGACGCGCTAGTCCATCCGCGCTAACCGAATTCGGAACGACTCTATCAATACTTCACCAGCATTTCCTTCAGCAGCGCTGTTTCGCAGCCGCTCTGATCATCTGCCCGCGCTCTCAGCTTCTCAAACTCTTGTAGATAGAGAAATGATATGCATGACCTTAAAAGATCGTGGCACGATCCTGGCACACTGAGTAGAGGTCGCAGATCAACAGGCAGGACATTCGACACTATAGAATGTCGGATCTTTACTTACTGAATGCCTCTAGGAGGAGCTTTTCGCAGTCGGAATCTATACCTAGACCAGCGTGCAGAGCTCTAGAGCACGGCAACAGCCTCCTTCGGCTTTCGCACTTTGACTTGACAAGCTCGCAGGACGATGAATTAAGACATCCTCGTTCTGGAATGATCATTACATTGAATCTGTTACATGTAGAGCTCATGATTACCAGTGATCATCCTGTCTTCCGGATGCCTAGATGCACGAGCGATGGCAAATGAAAGAGAGGGGTGACGTTGAATCCGCATTTTAAGCACATGTGTGGACAAACAAGTGCAGAATATCGCGCCAATATCATCACAGCCCAACCGCTTGTCCAACCACAGGTCCCTTCCTCAAGCACCCGCAAGCCGCGCGATGACTCAATGAAAAGAAAAGATGGTCAGGATACTGCCCGGGGCTGACCAGACCCCAGGACGCAACGAGCCCCGCCAACGCTCGCCGCAGATGGTCTGCAACACACCTCCTAGTTTCAGACCTCTCTTAAGGCCCGTCACGCAGGTCCGGAGACAAGCGCGGTGCCCAGCACACATCCTCACCGAGACGCCGTCAAGAGTAGGGGGCTTAATGAAAACGAGCCGTAATAGCGGCCGCAGCCCTAAGCTGAACGAGTTCACCCACAAACCACAAGCCGTGTCCGGATCGGGGAGTTGACATTCGGTCGTCGTCGAAAAGCCGTCAACTAGCTTTCGACTAGCCACCCTGTGTGGTCGATGTTGACAATGCAGCTGGTGGTGCAAGGCCGCCTCGCAAGGTGCTTTTGGTGCACCAGGTGCAAGGTCTCGAGGGAGCTGAGGTGGAGGTTGGGTAGAGCAAAGCTGAATGGACTACCCTTAAGGCCCATCACGCAAGTCCGGAGACAAGCGCGGTACCCAGCACACATCCTCACCGAGACGCCGTCAAGAGTAGGGGGCTTAATGAAAACGAGCCGTAATAGCGGCCGCAGCCCTAAGCGGAACGAGTTCACCCACAAACCACAAGCCGTGTCCGGATCGGGGAGTTGGTATTCGGTCGTCATCGAAAGCCGCCAACTAGCTTTCGACTAGCCACCCTGTGTTGTCGAGATTGATCAAGCTGCACAGTGACCCGGCTCGTCCCGCAGGATGCTCTGGTTGCAAAGTGGTTCATGATCCCGAGGGAGCTGGGTGTGGAGGGTGGAAAGAGCAAAGAAGGAGGTTGGAGGTCGAAACTTTGGCGGGGGGCGAGGGGATTTATGTACCCGACTGCTGCGGCGGTGCCAAGGCGCTAGCGAAATGCGGCCCGAGCGCGTTCACGCTCGCGTCTGCCTGGTGACTCCGAGGGTTGCCAAGATGAGCTCATTCTGGTGCAAGGTAACCCCGCAGCTTCCGTCAATTGTCTCACCTGCAAGGGCGAGTGGGGCCCTAAACTAGCGTTCGAGTCACCCACCCCGGCACATGACTAGCCCCGGGATGCCTAGATGCGAGCACGGCTCCGCTAACCTAAAACGGCTTAGTCTACATCTTCATCTCAACTTCATCTCTCGAATGCCCGGCGAACATCCTCACCAACGCGCAGTCACACTTCTTAAATGCCAATATAGCAGCTCTGCATTCAACATTGTATTGATAGAAAGCCATCTTCTCGTAGATGTTGCGCCGGACCACCACCCGCCCGCATCATCGCCCCGAGCAGGCACACGAGTAGTGACAAGTAGCATCAGCAGGCGCACTTGCACCGGACACTAATTTCCGCCGATTGCCCGCGGAGAGCTTGGGGAGAACAGTCACAGTCATTTTTGGCGCTATCGCCTCCGCTAGCAAGATGTGGTCCGTGTTCTCGCGACCGCGTTCTTTCCGCAATCGTAAACCCCACTCATTTGCACCCGTGCGGCGCAGTTTAGAAACTCAACCATAGCCAATGGCGAATCTGACTGGCAAGTCACTGTACATTTGCTAACGTGCATGCTTAGGACCTTTCCGGCATACAGAAGCTGATAGCCGTCATGAAGAAGATTCGCGGAATCGAGACCGTAGGCATTCCGAAGCATCAGGAGCCTGGAACGCTCAGTGTCTCTAAGCCATACATCCCCGATCCATCGGCTTTCAGGGCCACCCTGGGTCTAAAGAGAGGTCAGGGGAAAAGGGAGCGTACCGTCGTCCTTGAGCCGCTCTCCTGTTTACAAACAATAGCCATTTTGGGCATTTCTCATGCTTTGGATATGATATCCGAACGCAGACCCGTCTACTCATATCATTGTCTCGCTAGATGCCACCCTTGTAACGCTGCATTGGAATCTGAATGCCCCCAGGCTTCCGTTTGCATAAGACAACATCGAGCTTGCTTTGAACGTGTCACTAGAATGCAGAGCTATCTCTCTCACATCAAGGCCTTATAATATGCCACCCTTTCAAGGCTGTATTAGTATCTGAAGGTCTCCGGGCTCCAATTTGCATAGGAGACCCATGGCAAGCATCCGCGCATGCTCTCGGCATGTTCAAGCAATATTTGGAAAACGTGATGCCCTCAGAGTTCAGTGCTATGCACTCGCAGCGATCCGGCACGTAGCATTCCAAAGTTCCCATTACCCACTGAAAGCCTCCAGGAGTCGCTTTACAGCGTCAAAGAAGAAATATCCTTGCACTGGTGTCCCGCAACGTTCACACCGTACACAAACCCAGATCCCTCGCCTTAATCTGCAGCGCCAAAAACCTCGAATAAATCCTACACAGCGCCAAACTGCCGCCAAAGAACCATAGTCCCGGATGCCCGCTCGGCCTCCACATAGCGTTCACCTCGCCCTCGTCGTCTAGATCCCACACGTCCTTGCAGCGGCTCGCCTCCTCCGGTCCTAGCGCCTTCTCCACGCTCGTCTTCATGTTGTCGTAGCCCGTAGCGAGGACGACGATGTCGGCGTCGAGCTTGCGCCCGTCGGCGAGAATGAGCCCGGTCTCGTCGAAGCCCTTGATGCCGTCAGGCGACTGCTCGACTTTAATCTTGCCGTCGATGATGAGCTGCGAGGCGCCGACGTCGATGTAGTAGCCGCCGCCACGCGTGATGTACTTGCGGTAGATGCCGGAGCCGTCGTGGCCGAAGTCGACTTCAAAGCCTGCTTTCTTCAAGCCCTCGAGGTTTTCTTTCTCGCGCTCTGCGATGCGCTCGGTGAGGCCGATGTTGAGTGCGAACTGCACGGGGATGGGGAGCGACTGGCCGTACACGTCGGCGTCCTCGGTTGGCGGACCGTGCTCGTCGTAGAGACCTTCGTGCAGCATGAAGAGGCCCTTGTCAGCTTGGATAACGTAGGTGCCGCGGCGTTGGACCATAGTTACCGGGCCGGCGCCGGCTTCGTAGTAGTTCTGCGCGATGTCGTGGCCGGAATTCCCGGTACCAACGACGACAACTTTCTTGCCTTTGAGGTCGCCTTGGTAGGTAGAAGCGTCCTTGTGCTGCGAGGCGTGGGACACGGTGCCCCTGAACGTGCCCTGGCCCGGGAAAGTTGGGACCTTGGGCTCACCGGCGTGGCCGGTGCAGAAGATTACATGCTTGGGATGTAGTGTTCGCTCGCTTCCGTTGGCGCGTTTCACGGTTACCGTCCACTTCTTCTCGGCATCGGAGTATGAAGCTTTCGAGATGGTGGTAGACATCCAGACGTTGAGCTCCATCATAGAGGCGTATGACTCAAACCAGTCGCCGAGCTTGTCCTTGGGCGTGAAGAGCGGCCAGTTCGAGGGGAAGGGCATGAAAGCCATGTGAGTATATTGGACGGGGTCGTGGGTTACGAGGGTACGGTAGCGGTGTCGCCAGTTGTCGCCGATGCGTGCGTTCTTGTCGACGATGAGTGCGGACATGTTCAGGGCTTGAAGACGGGCGGCCATGTTGAGACCGGATTGTCCTATTCATTGTTAGTACTTTTATCTTTCCCCTAATGCGAGAGCAAGCTTACCGGCTCCGATGATGAAAACGTCAGGCTCCCCATCCAAAAACTCCTTCTGTCTCTCCCTCCTCTCCTGCCAGTTACCCTCGATGATACCTCCCTTAAGCGAGTTCTTCCCGCCATGCGGTCTCTTATCTCCTGCAACCTCCTCATGGTCCTTCAACTCCTGCAGGCTAGTGCTAATAAAGTGGGCCTTCCAGGCACCATCCTCTCCCTGGGCGAGTCTGAGAAAGCCCTTTCCACGGCCGACTTTATTCTCGAAGTGGAACATGCTCTCCACCCAATCCAGTCCCTCAAGAGGGGTCTGGATGCTTGGCGCAAATGCCTTGCCCTCATCCTGGAGTTTGAGGTTGGAGAAGCCAGCGCTGATGTTCTTGGAGAGGAATTCGGTGATCTTGGGTGCGCCGCGAACGGTCCGGAAGTCCCAGGTCAGAGCGAGGAAGTCGCGCCACCAGCTATCGGGATGAATTATGCTAGCGATGCGCGACGCGTCGCCGCTTGAGAGAATAGAAGAGAATTTATCGAGCCATGCCTGGGCGATTTGGCTGGGTTCTTGCTTTTCCGTCACCGAGACTTTGACCTCAGGTTTAGCGAATTTAGGGAGAGTGATGTCGTGAGGGTGTTGGGCCAACATTTCAACGAATTCCTGATTTAAAAGGTACAGGAGAAGGACGAAAATGAGAGGACGGATGAGCGATAGAACGGTGAGCGGTTGCAGGGCGCTCTATATACCTACATGTACACCCTACTCGGCCCAGTTGTTGCTCAGCTAGCTGTGGATACACGATCTTAGTCACATGCAAACGCCGTTCCACTAACCAACGCTCCACGGAATGCAGCGACGATAACAAAGGAATGGTTGAGAGGCGCGGACGCGCTCGGTGTGACATGGCCCGGGCAACGTTGCTCAGCGTAAGTGGTGCTTGGGAGGGCTGGGCCCCGCAGGGAGTCAGAAGGCCACGGCGATCGGTTTTGCTTTTCTAGAGTAGATTGGGCTTCCCCGCAGAAGTTGAGGGACGTGGCCCTGGATGGCGTGGGCGGGAGGCGTGCTGAGGTTCCAGCTTGAGGTTGGGATCGGCTAAGTTGCCCTTTCGGCTCACTTTCCTTTTTGGGACGCATCCGAAACTCCCCGGCTTTGAGGTTCTCTTGTCACACAGCATTCGTCATCCACTTGGACGGCAACTCTCACATGAAATTCTTCGATACTGTTGAGGTGCGGAACCGCTTGATAAGCCACATCTTCGGTCATTCAATTGCTGTGCCCTGATCCAAACCATTTTGAGTGTCATTGTTAAGTCTCTCGGTCGATCTGTATTACCTAGTTGAGGGGTAGAGTTCTTGAACTCAGTGTTATGGTATACTACAAACCGCTACAGCAAAGCACATCCTTGCGAACAATAATGAGATCGGCCGTGATGGCGGATGAGTTTGACCACTCCTGGGGATGACTATTACTTGCGCAATCATCAATTGAAACGTGAATGGAGTAGATTGTATCTATGGAGTTTGTCCGACCAAGGAAAAACACCGCCACGTCTTGCATTTGCCTAGAGAGGATATAGAATCCCCATATACCCTATAAATTTGACCGAATAGGGAGCAGGCCCAAGATCTGGAAGATCGTCGCAGTAGAACAGCTTTCAAGCGTTAAGTTCTTCTACATGCGTCGTGGTGTTCTTTCCCGCAGCGTACATCTTCATTCCGGAGGCAGTCGCAATACGTGCTTGTTCGGCTTCGAGAGCCTCTGCGGGACGAGTGCTCTGCTTTCCGACCTTGTCGCCGATAGGAATGTACCATTTGTGACCAGAGTCTTTGTCGAAGTACGCGTCCACGTCCTCGAGCGTACGTTGTCTGCCAGACGTTAGCTAAAGATAAGGAGGAAAATACGGCATCACTTACGCAGTTTCAGGGTAAAGGAAGTAGACGACGAATACAAAGATAAGATTGAAACAGGCGAAGACTGGAGCAGTTAGTGGACCTTCTCCTGAAGAGCATGAGCCTATAAACTTACTGATATAGAACCGGTAGCCAATGTTTTTGATGCCCGTGGGCGTGAACTGTGTGCAGACGAAGCCGAAGAGCCAGTTCGTAGCCGTGGCAGCAGCTGCACCGCGCGTTCGCATAGCCAGTGAGTTGACCTCAGATTGATACACCCATGGAACCATTCCCCAGGTGCAACCGAAGGCGGCGTAATAGAAGAAGAGGAACGTAATGGCGACGGCACCCCATTGTTTCTCCGCGGTATGCAGGAGCGCAACGGCGATGGCGACCATAACATACGCCAAGAACTGCAGACCGGCCCCGCCCATCATCAACGAGCGGCGACCAATGCGCTCAATCATCCAGAAGGCTAGGGCCGAGCTTATAACATATGAAGTAGCGTTGCAGCCAGTGAGAACACGAGCCATAAATTCGGTCATACCGAGGTTTTGTTCGAGGATAGTCGGGAACTAAGTAGGGTTAGAAGAGTAGGCCCACGTGAGACTTTGGACGTACGTAGTAATTCAAGGCGTTGATGCCGCCGAATTGCTGCATGAACTGCGTTCCGCAGCCAAGTAGGAGTCGTCTAAGATGAGCGGATCGATCCCTGCGAAGGATGACTTCTTTGAACGAGATCTGCGACTGCCGCTCGATCTCGATGGCGCCGCGGATGGACATTAGCTCCTTCATGACAACCTCATCGTCTAGGCTGAGGCCCTTTCCGAGATATCGTCGAAGGGCCTCGTGGCCTTCCTCGAATCGATCGTGCATCAGGAGCCACCGGGGAGATTCTGGGACGAACATAAGGAAGCTGACCATAGCAGCGCAGGGAACAAGCTGGTGTAATCGTTAGTAGCAGAGCAGATTCGATCAAGCGGAGTTCGTTACCTGCAGAGCGAGCGGAAGTCGCCACTGAATGCCATTGTCCGCGAAGGATGTGCCGAGAGTAAGCCAGCTTCCGATCATGTAGAAGATGACGTTGTGCAAAACCACTATCACGGACAGCTTTCCTCGTCGTACGCCGCGTACGGATTCAGCTTGATAGACACCGACTGTACTGGAGACAATGCCTTTTCAAAATCAGCCCGTGCATATCAACCGTGAACTAGTCTTCCATACCGTTTCCGACGCCGTTTATAACACGACCGAGGATCAGCATTCCGAAGTTGACAGCAGCGAACTGGAGGATGGCGCCGATAGTGCTTATTACCGCTCCACAGCGAAGAGTGTTCTTCCGTCCTAGGCGATCGCCGAAGAGAGCGGCAAGTAGACATCCCGCAAGGTTTCCCAGCGAAAAGCAACTGGCTGTGATGCCCTGAATATCCGGATCCTTGGTCTGCGGGAACTGGTTGATGAAGTCCGAGCTAATCAAGATACCACTGATGATACCCTGGTCGTAGCCGTACCATGCCTGTACGAGATATCAGTAAGCGTCGTGGGGGCTCCGTACGATGAGGGTTGCTCACCTGGCCGGCGGAGTTTGCAGCGGTCAGAACGACCTCCAGCGCATAACCTTCGAGATTACCCCACATGGTTGCAAAGATTCGATGGTGTCTTTCCAAAGGTAGATAAGGTCGAGATGGCCCGCCAATGTCGGCGGGCTCGCCTTGATTATATATGCTTCTGGGGCGCCATGGCCCGCCCGTTAGCCAAGGTAGCCAGGAGCCCGGGGAGGACACTCTGGGAAAACGCATGGCAAGGAATGAAGAACCGGCTAGCTGGCTCTGGGGTGCATGTAGTGACCCGCCATACTGTTTCCGGGGTTGGGCCCAAGTGGAGAGGAGGTAGTCCGGGGCCGCAAGGACTAGCACGCGACCGGTTTCATTGTGGGCTGAGTCATGTTGTGCCTTGGAGTTGAGGATTCTTGAATGCGGAAATAACCTTCACGAGTCACTAGTATGAGTTAGTCGAAATCGGAGGAGGGCGAGCGGTGGGGTGTTGGGGGTGGGGAGAGGAGGTTGGCTGGAGTGAGTCGGGCCGGCGTTCGGGCAGACATGGCGCGAGTGGCCCCACTCCCAAACCCGGCATGTGCAGGGACGGCGCCTTCCTTGCCCACGAGAAGACCTCCATCCAAGAGCACGCGCGGCAAAGGCTTTCCGTCCGGCGCCGAGCTTCCAGCCTTGAAAACGCCTCCAGAGCATAAATCACAGCGCGCGTCCTCGCGTTCGGTCCATGTCTGTCCGCCGTCTGAATTCTCGTTTAGATTCCCTCCCGCATCGGAGCACAAGGGCTAAAACGGAAGCTTAAATCTCTCGGGCCATGTCGAGGGCCTCCCCATGAAGGCACTGCCAGCATGGAGAGTTCATCGGATGCTCGCCGCTTGAGCAAGACTGTGTGAGCAGCCGAGCACGATGAAGTAGTTCCCCGGCTGACCGAGCAGGTGCCTCTTGTGTCGGCAAAGAAAGATCCGGTGCAACCGAAAGCTTCCAAAGTGCGAGAGTTGCACACGCGCTGCTGTGGAATGCCAGTACAGTACGACGACGACGTCATTACGCGACATCACGTGACTAACACCCACGCCCAGTCGCCGTGAGGAATAGGCCTGGCCTGAGGGCTGGCTATGTGTCGGAGCTTGAAGAGAGGCTAGGTATGTACGGCATTCGCTAAAAGACCGCCCTGTTGATCCTAGATTTCTAGCCAAGCTCGAACGGGAGGTGCAGCTGTTGAAGGCAGATCGACCTGGTACGCACGGGGGAGATCCTTTGCCCCATTCATACTGACGGGCATAGTGGGTCCAGCATCGATGGTAGACGTGAACAGCGTAGCGACCTCGAGTTCATCCGACCATTCGATCCAGGATGCACCCGCAAGCATCGCCCACATCAGCCCACGGAGTGCGAGATGTTCTCCGTCCGATTTCGACCCACTATCATCTGGCATCCTTGACGAACTGTGTAGGGCATGGTTGTAAGCCAGACCTCAATGCGACTAATGCGGCTTGATCACAGCTGACATGCAGGCCTCAGCGAGAAGTACCACCCATGGTTTCCAATCCTGCATCAGCCGTCCCTTCTTGAAGTCCTCCAAACTTCGCCGATTCTTGCCAGCACTGTCCATTACATCGTCTTCAAGGCGGTTGCGGCTGTCACTATACCCCACTCTTACCACTCCGATTCCTTGACCAATGATCAAAGACGAACGCTCTCAGATGACCTGCGTAGCCAGGTCGTCATGGAGGCGATCAGCCAGCTATCGCTCCAATCGCTCCAGGCCGTTCTAATCTTGACGATTCGAGACTATGGAGCAGGCCGATTGAGTGAGTTCTGGAACCTGATAGCGTTGGCGAAGCGGTAAGTCATACGGCTGTGGTCTGCACTGCCAGTCTCTTGCGCGTTGCGTGCTAATCGATCTGCTAGCATGGGTACCCAACTTGGTCTTCGAGACTTAGTCGCAAACCAATGTGACAACTTCCACCAAATATCTACGATCCCGCCGCGCATGTTGCCACTGCCGAACTCACTAGTCAACAGAGAAGAGAAAATCCGAGCGTATTGGATGACCGAAGGTGAGGCACCTCCTCTTCGCGGCACGCACACGCTGAGTCGAGACAACAGTGCTTGACGGCTCGTCGACAGTCGGTGCAGCCTGGAACCTCAACATCTCGAGGCCAGAGAGCACGGGCCTTCTTCCATGCAGCGATACCATCTGGTCGTTTCCGGAGGCCGTCATCAGCGCCTGGTCGTTCGGTGACTTTGAGATGTCTTCGGCGTACTCGCTTTACGTGATGCTCGTCACGAACGAACTCTACCATGTCCACCGCTTCCTGCAGCAGTCATTCGATACGCAATCCGCCACTGAACGTGTTCAATGGCAAAACGAATGCAGGGCGGTTGACGAGGGCCTGATCGCCTGGCGAGTGAAGTTCGCCGCAGCACAAGTACGAATGAACGCTGAGCATGGAGGTTCATACGACCCTAATATCATTCTGACACACTGCGCGTTGGACCTGTAAGAGTCAGCTTTGCCCTAGTCCCCAGTAGTCGCTAATAGGAGAACCAGAGCCACCATATCTCTATACCAAAGATTAGCACTCCCGCCATCGGGCCTGGAAGAGGCGCAAGGCCCATGGTATCATGCCATTCAACGCTGTCTAGACGCATGCGACAGCATCACCAACGTGCTGCGAGCCATGCACGATATGAATCTAGAGAACATCAGCCCGCTCATCATCTCTTGCATATTCGTCGCAGCCAGATTCTTCCTAGGTAAGCTCGAGAACTTCATCACTACCCGACAAATAGCTCACTCACCAGTCCACGCCAAACTCCTCAACGTCGAAATCCCCCGAAACCTCGACCTCTTGGTTTACAGCCTGAAAACCTGTGGTCTCCGATGGTCGTACGCACGACGGCTTGAGAAAGTGATACGCACCGCGACTGCAGACCACAAGCTTCCTTCGTCCATGTCATCGCTCCCCGTGCAGTTCTACGACTTGCAGTATTCCTACCTGGACATTGATGAAGCGCTCCGGGTCTGGGCAGAGGGGCTCGAGCCGTGGATGCATCTTGCGGGGCTCGAACATCCCGCGCTCGATCAGAATGCTATACTGATGCCCAACGTTAATCTAGCGACTGGTATGGCGAGCGCGGATGACGCGACGTTCTTACCCGATACTGCTCAGTTGGCCCAGGCTTGATCGCGTTGCCGTAAAAATGGACCTGGCTGGATAGCTCGAATATCTCGGTACATGCTGCGGCGCCGTAGAGAGTACAGAGCTCATCCGCGGAACGTACACCACGCCCATGCGACTTCGCCCAAGCAAGCGGCGGAGGCTGATATGGTCGTCGACATCGATAGTGTGAGCACTTTCGGGCTACGGAGGAGGGGCTGAGCGGGCATAAGGGCCTGAGGTTCTCCTCTATGCTCACCACGGTTGTATGTGCTGGTTGGTTGTAATGAAAGGCTTGGTCAAGACACCCCATATCGCACACTGCATTATGGTCCGCACCGTCGTCTCTCAAAGTGTGGCGCTGCGGACATGGCCGGAAAGAGACGCATGAGGCGAAGGCTGCACTTTCGAATGCCCAATTACCGTGCTGATCCTTTCGTGTGCCATGGTTCGTGTAACATTGGCATCTTCTCACGCATCGTCGCATTCAGAATGCTGGGCCATCGGCACGAACGGAAAACGCAAGATAATACTAGTGAGGCTAACGGGTTGTGGGGACAATGACCCCATTGATCGTGCACGAATTTACGTGGTCCGGTGCGGAGGGTGTTGAGGTGGATAGCGACGTTGTGTATTCCAGGCGGCCCCCGCCAAGAGGCTAGCGCCCTGTATGTAGTGCGGCTGAAGATCAGATCGACAGGCAGGGCGAGCTGCTCTGCTGCTGCGTCGTTAGGCCACCATTGCCATGGCGTCTCAGCACGCTTGCTTGCGCTCCTTTGTGAGCCTGCGACGTTCTTGTTATTCCTCCATATTGTCCTTTTACCCTCCGTGAACCTCCTCAAAGCGTCGATGGCGATCAACCCAGGCTTCGCGATCCGCCGCAACGGCTCCTGTCTCGCCGGCGGCTACGAGGTCGACTGCGGGCAGACTCGCACGCCATTTCGATTATGCTGTCCCACCGGCCTTGAATGCCCGTCGCAACAGAATTTTGCCTGCTGCTCACCAGAGAACATTAGTTGCACTTCAGCGCTCTTGCCAGAGCCGAAATGCGCGAACGCGACGTGGGACCTGTTTGATAACGAGGGCTACTTTTGCTGCGAGCACGGCTTGCCTGGATATAATATTCGCGGGACACACGGCTGCGCATCGCCGGGATTCGTGTATAGCGGCGGCGAAGAGAGCCTGTCGACAGTCCAGGCTGGCCAGCGTACGTTCCAGCTCGTCACTGCTGCTGCTGCTGCTGCTGCTCGGCCGACCGCTCACACCCCACAGCCTCTGCATCCTCTTCGACCGTCTCCGCAACCTCCTCGAATACCTCGCCCCCTGCGGCGACGAATACACCGTCAACAGGGGGGTCGTCGACGCCGACTGGGGCGATTGTTGGGGGCGTGCTTGGTGGAATCGCTGCGATATCGATATTGGTAGTTGGGGCCTGGTGCATACTGCGGCGGAAACGGCAACAGCGGCAGGAAACCCCGTATCTTCTGTCACAGAGACACGATCTGTCTTCAAGAGAGCTGGCTATGAAACACCACCTGGACGCGGACCAGGCCATTCATGAGGCGGATAATAGAGCAGCAAGATACGCGCCTACGGGAGAGCTGCCAGCGCCACAGCACCCGACGGAATTGCCAGCACATGGCGCGCGGTCGTAATCTGCCATGTTCCCGCGCGCGTCGTATGTAGGATTAATACTACGCCGCTGGACGGCCTATCTTGGCTCGGTAGCTGCCCTCTCGGGCCATGCGAGGAGCTCTTTGCTGACAAAAGGTCTCAACAGACTTCACTGGCAGCTTAGCATATCCGCAAGTTGGGATCGCATGTGTTCTTCGCCGACCGGTGCATCATATGCGCGCGGAAGTCAGGCCGGCACGTCCCACTTTTTGGTCTTTTACAACGCCGCGCTAGAATGCCAAGCAGGGGGGAAGGTATATGCTAACCGCACTCTCCAAGCTTCGTTCACCCATCCGCAAAGCTTGCTTCCACCGTTCAACCAAAGCCACCACCCGATACACGGCGTCTCTTGTGATCGATTCCGTCCTCACGTTCGTCTGTGCAAAATCAGAAGGACATGCAAAGCTGCACGTTACCGCTCCTCGTGCTCGCTGCCATTCCCACCCCCGTCCATGCTTCCAACACCGAGCAGCCGGAAATGAAGCTTCCTGACAGAAGCGGCAGGAGGCACGCGCAATGAGGATCGCCATGATTCTAAGATAGTTGCGCGCAAACAGCGCTAAGAGAGTGCGATATCCAATAACATGGCGCGCCGTTGTCAGGCAATATAGTTTGATTGGATCCTTCGGGGTAAGGATGGTAAAGTCGCAACTAACAGTCGGAACCTGATGTCACCCTGTACCCTCCCATGCTCATACGTGGATAAGATAGCGCGTACGTCTATATGGACTAGGCTTATATTTACGCGTGCCCGCGACGTAAGAAAAGTCGTGTCTTCACCTTTTCCTTCGGAGGCGGAATGATGATGGCCGCCCGAGGCTCTCTTTTGTTGGTCTTCTCGTCACTCGTTCAGAACGGTGTATTTGGCCAGAATACCACTGATAATTTACAATATGTGGATCAGCTAATTGGGAGTGCTAATGGAGGTCTGTACGCCCGGGAAGGCGTATTTCGGCTTGCTAACTTTCTAGGAAACGTCTTCCCCGGCGCAACATTGCCTTATGGTATGGTCTCAGGAACCGACGGAAGCGGAAATAGAGACTAAATATGCGAAGGCATGGCGAAAGCTGTAGCGGACGTCGACTCGCCCAGTAATCAGGGCGGCTTCACGACCGAAGGCGGCAACATCACAGGGTTCAGCACCATGCACGACAGTGGCACTGGTAGAGAGCTCCAATAAACGCCTTACAACGTGCGGGTAGATGCTCACTCTGTATAGGCGGCAGTCCCTCACTAGGAAACTTTGCTTTCTTCCCATACGCCTCATGCCCTGGCGACGACCTCAACCGCTGCACCTACCCCAAGAAAGCCCGGAAGATACCCTACGTGCCGGATTCCATCAAAGCCACACCCGGATACTTCGGCATCACGCTATCCAGCGGCGTGGCAGCAGAAATGACCACAGCGCAACACACATCACTCTTCCGCTTCAAGTTCCCTTCCACCTCCAACGGAACCAGTCCGCTTCTCCTCCTTGACCTCACTGATCTCGCCGATTCGCGTCAGGACAACGCTTCCATGTCCGTCGACGCCGACACAGGTCGCATGACGGGAAACGCACGCTTCCTACCAAGTTTCGGCTCTGGCAACTGGGTCGGCTACTTCTGTGCAGATTTCGGCGGCGCTGATATCCGCGACAATGGGATCTTCGTCAATTCTCGCGCAAGCGCAGATGTCAAGGATCTCAAGATCACGCGCTCTATTAACAACTACCCCCTCCCAGGAGGCGGATTCATCCGCTTTACTTCCAACCCGACCGACGGCATCCTCGCACGCATCGGTGTCAGCCTGATAAGCAGCGAGCAAGCCTGCGCCAGCGCCGAATCCGAGATCCCCTCCTTCGACTTCAGCGCTACGCACGACCTCGCGGAGTCCGCATGGCGCGAAAAGCTATCGCCAATCAGCGTCTCCACCACCGGCGTCAACAGCTCGCTGCTCACAAACTTCTTCTCGGGCATCTACCGCACCATGGTGAACCCGCAAAACTACACGGGTGAGAACCCTCTCTGGTCCAGCTCAGAACTTTACTTCGACTCCTTCTACTGCCTCTGGGATAGTTTCCGCAGCCAGCTCCCCTTCCTCACGATCCTGGACCCAGCAAGCGTCACGCAAATGGTAAGATCTCTGATCGACACGTACGAGCACGAGGGCTGGCTGCCAGACTGCCGCATGAGTCTGTGCAAGGGCTACACGCAAGGCGGCTCCAACGCCGACGTCGTACTCGCAGACGCTTACATCAAGGGCCTCAGCGCGGGGATCGACTGGGACAAGGGCTACGAAGCCGTCGTGAAAGACGCAGAAGTAGAGCCCTACTCCTGGTCCAACGAAGGCCGGGGCGGCCTCGATAGCTGGAAATCACTCGGCTACATTCCCACGCAGGACTTCGACTACAAGGGCTTTGGGACCATGACGCGCAGCGTGTCTCGCTCGTTGGAGTACGCGTATAACGATTTCTGCATTGCGCAGATGGCTGCGAATCTCGGTTCGTCCACTGATGTGGAGAAGTACACAGAGCGCAGCGCGAACTGGAAGAATCTCTACTACGCGGAGCAAAAGAGTTATCTGTTCAACGGGCAAGACACGGGGTTTACGGGCTTCTTCCAGGGCAAGTATATGAATGGCACGTGGCATAGCCAGGATCCGTTGTGGTGCAGCACGATTGATCCGGATCCGAATCGGGTTTGTAGTCTGCAAAACACAGGGCAAGAAACTTTCGAGAGTAGTTTGTGGGAGTACGGGTTGTACGTATCCCCCCTTTCCTCCCTAGTCCTGACTCGTGTGGGGAGCTGATGTGGATGGATGCATAGCTACGTCCCCGGCGACCAAGCCGGACTAATCTCCCTCTACGGCGGCCCCACCGCCTTCGTTCAGCGTTTGAACTACCTCCACGACCAAAACATAACCTACATCGGCAACGAGGTACGTACCTCTCCCCCTTTCCCTCGTGTCCCAACTAACCCAGTCCGCTCCCACCAGCCCGCCTTCCTCACCGTCTTCCAATACCACTACGCCGGACGCCCCGCCCTCAGCGCCCTCCGGTCACACTTCTACATCCCGCGCTTCTTCAGCCCGACGAACGCCGGATTGCCCGGGAACGACGATTCCGGCGCCATGGGCTCTTTCGTCGCGATGTCCATGTATGTAGCCCAGCCACCTACCCATCTACCTACCTACCCACCCGTGTATTGTAGGCATGCTAAAACGAGAGCAAAACAACAGGATGGGCCTCTTCCCCAACCCCGGACAAAACGTCTACCTAATAACGCCTCCGTTCTTCGAATCCGTCTCCATCCGCTCCCCTGTAACAGGTACATCGCCCTTCTCCCTTCCCCTTCCCCTCCCCTCAACCAACAACCCAACCCCGCCTCCTAACACCCCTCCCCTCAACTCACAACCCCACGCAGGCAAAACCGCCACAATCCGCAACGCCAACTTCGACCCCAGCTACGGCGCCATCTACATCCAATCCGCGACGCTGAACGGCGCTCACTATACCAAGAACTGGCTCGACCACAGCTTCTTCACCGAGGGCAAGGAGCTCGTGCTCACGCTGGGGCGGAACGAGAGCACGTGGGGCACGCGGGTTGAGGATCTGCCGCCGAGTTTGAGCGAGTATGTTGGGTTTGGGAATGGGACTGTGAGCAACGGCACGATGGGTGGGGAAAGATGGAGAAGGCGGGGTGGGCCGAGGATGGGCGCGTTGGAGAGCCGTGACGTTGGCGGGTTTATATGAGTGGACATGAAGGCGTTAATGCGCGCGAATGTGGAAAACGTGGAAATAAAGTGAAGACAAAGACGGGCATGATGATTCAGACGGCATATTATTGACCCGTATGCTATAATGTCATAGAGCTTATTGACAAGAGCCCAGAAATCGATGTCATGCGCCTCTCCTTACGTTTGTGCTCATCAGCGTAATCTTCTTGGCTTTCTTCTTTTTCCCTCCCGCCTGCTTCTTCGGCGTTTCGCTGCTCTCGCCTAAGGACATAGCCTGCGCTTCAGCAATCATCCCTTCCTCTTGCAGTAGATCCTTTTCCCAACCCTGAAGCCATCCATCGTCAGGCATATCATGTTCCTGCGGCACCAGAATTGGCGACGTTGGTGGTATGGCCGCGGTGCCCCAGACGGTTCGCGGTGCTGAAGGGCTCGTCGACGGCGAGGCAAGTGAAGCGAAGCCCTGGCCGCGTCTTGCGGGCCAAGGAGGCGACGTCGATGCGCTCTCTGCGTCTGTGGTAGCAGCGGGCTCCGGTGTCCCGGAGGGCATCAACGGCTGGAAGTCATCCGCAGAGAACTTATCGGAGATGCTTGGCCGCTTCCTCCTGGCCGAAGCAAACTGGGCATACTCATCCTTCTCCGCCTTCAGTCGAGCCTTCTCTTCTCTCGTCTCCTTGTCCTGATTCCTCTTCCGCCTCTTCTCGATCTCTGGTTTGAAGCGCTCCAAGATTTCAGGTGTCACGGTATCTGTCCAATCACATTCCAAGAAATTCACTTCGCACCCATAGGGTAGGTATGCGAGGTACTTTGTGCGCTTTCGTAAATCGTCGTCGACGACATGGCCAGTGGAGACGCGCTCGACGCGTGGTAGGATAGTAGATGGGAACGATGCAAAATCTCCGAATGTGGCTTTCAGAATGCGAATATCCAGCGGCGATAAATAATAATGCAAGAGCGCTTGGTAAAAATAATACTCCGATGGTGTGTGGTGAAGCTCGTGGCGCTGGCGGTTGCGGATCTCAGCTAGAGTCGCGCCAATACCGCCATGACTTGTTCGCGAGGGGTGGGATGACACTGAGAGCTTCCTCGAACTTGCGGCATTCGTTTCGGTCCCTGTACTAGTAGTAGCATGAGCGTCAAGTGCAGTGGCTTCTGCGGCCGGGGTGTGGACATGCGGTATGCTCTGCCCTGATTTGGCTGCATTCTGGATCAGGTACATCTCGGGAGTGTCTTCGTCGTTCTCGTTGAAGACAATTGGAGGTTTCTTTGCTTTCGGTTCGGCAGGCTTGGCTGTCATCACCGGCGGGTTGCCGATGCCCTTGACCTTCTCCTTGGAATCCTGAATGGAGCGTATTGCCTTCCTCATCCACTCAACGTTGTCCTCTCCGAACATGAGCTCATCTTCCTTCCCCTGCTGCTCCAGTTGGCGAAGCTCGCCCTCGAACTGCTCGATCATATAATCCTCTCCACCTCGCATGACGCGGGCATAGTCCATGACTTCAGCAGCGTGGTACCATGGAATGTCCTCCTCTTTGGTAAGAGCATCGGCGCCGTCCCGTGGCATGGCCAGCGTACTTCCAGCTGGCCTCATGACTAAGCGAAGCACGACGTCACCTCCCTCTCGTGGAGGCTCGCCCTCTTGTCCAACGTACCAGCGCACGGGCCGCGTCTCCGACATGTAGATGGAATCCCAGCACAAGGGACATTTCTTCGATCGCGCCTTCTTCTCCGGAACGGTCTTTCCCTCATCTTCGGACTGCATGTACCGAATAAGGCAAGGCAAGCAAAAGATGTGGCCGCACCTTGCCATCCTCGGGGCTACCGGAGTCCCTAGGCAGATCGGGCAAGAAGCGTCCTGAGACTGCGAAGACACCAATATCTGCAGGACACTGTTCCAGTCCAGGTGCACATCAGCGTCGACGCTCTGGGCGCGATAGTCGCCACGCGGGTCGACGATGAAGCGGTAATTGGCATGGACGTATCTGCTCCTTGTTAGCACAACCCGAAGATTCTCACAACCCTTCCAATGATGATTCCCAACTACAAGCCCAGCCCATAGTCGCGACAAGGATATAGGGGTGAACGTACCTCGCCTTATCGATGGCGTGATAACCCGAGCCCAGACCCCATGTCGGATTCCTGCGGTAGTTCCTTCCGTGTCCGTGGGAGTGGTGGTAGTTGTTCTGCGGGCGCGGCGGAAGACTGAAGTTCATGAGGTGGGTGATGGACGTCTGGCCCTTCCGGCTGTTGAAGGGACGCATGGCGAGCTGTGAAGCGTCAGAGCGCGGACCCCTAGTAACCTAGAAGGCGAACTCACAGAGTCAGCAATGGCATCCTCATCGGCCTGCCGGAAGCGCTTCGACCCCTTGTGCTGCTTGCGCGATTGCTGATTGTTCCTTGGCGTTGGCGAGGAGCGAGTCGTTGCCCCCGCTCCGAAACTGCTGGCCCCGCTTCGCCGTTGGCCGTAGTTGTCGCCGCTTGCGATGGAGTTTGGCTGGCTCTGGGCGGGCGAGAGCTGGCCTGAGGTGGCCGCGGCTTTGGACGAGGTCGGAATGGCGGGCGGGTTAGAAGACATGGTGCCGCCAACCAGTGCGGCCGCGGGCGATGACGATGACAGCTGCTATGGCAGAGGAAGGCGGTAGCGAGTGGAAGAGAGGAGCGGCGAGGGAGGAAGGGAAAACAAAAAGAAAAGGAGGGTGAACGCAGAGGTCTGGAGACGAATTGAGTGCTGGGCGTTTGGGTCCCCCAGACGGGATGGACTTGAGGAGGGAAGAGTCAGAGCCGTGGCCACTCTGGGGATGACGCTCTGGGCGATCGACGAAGTCACGTGGCTGCATTAAGTGGGCGGGAACTCCAGGCTGTCTCATTTGCTTCCGGCGATGCATTGCTGTCTCGGCCTGCTTGCTCGCATCAGCAGTCCGCTCCAGCGCGTCCCACCACTCAATTCTCCCGCGCCAGTTTGCACACTTCCAGCTGTCTTGCTTGCCCTCAACCTTGGGAGCATCGTGCCGCCGCAGACTCCGCCGGAGAATAGCCGGCGCACAGACCGCAGCTTAGAGCCGCTTGCTTAGAGGTTCGAACTCCTTCCATCGCCCCAACCCAACCCCAGCGGCCCCTTCAACCCCCGTATCTCACCTCTCTTTCTGGACGGGCAGTCTTTGCTGCTCGCCATGTCTTCTTGAGACAATGACCCCGCGCCCTCCTGTCGCGGCCGCCTTTCAGCCTTCACCTGCGAACCGGGCCGTGGCTGCCTCTGCGCGACCTCTCGGACCCCAGCAATAATTCGTGGGCCCCAAGACCATCAGCTTCCGCGCCGCCTCCACCCCCTCGCCTATCGCCAGCTCGCCAGCAACCGTCGACGCGCCGGGGTGACGTCTGTATAGCGCTTTCCCGACGCGTGTTCTCCCCGTTGCCTCGCACGTTGGATGCCCCAGCCGGCACCCGACTGTGAAGGCAACACCGACGCCGGCCGCTCATGATGCCAGGCCCTCACATACCGCCTGCCGTACCTCTCCATCCAGGAAGGCGGCAAGGTGACCCTCAGTACCACTACCATATCCCGCCGCAGACGCACTCGCCGGTCCACAATCCGTATGTGCCCTACCACCACCCGCAGCACTATGCTCCGCCGCACGCCTCGCCGTATCCCCAGCAGATGCAGCAATGGTACAACCCGTATCATCAGCCGCAGCACCAGTATGCGATGCCCCCGCGGCAATTCCAGCCCCACGGCTCCCCCGTCGTAGTTTCCTCACACCCACACATGGCGCCCATGCCTCCAGTGAATCGCGCGCTGGGGCAAACACCTCCGATTGTTCATTCACGAACTCCGCCCGCTCCCCGCATTCCTACTCCGCAGGCTGCGCCCTCCACGCCGTCCGTGAATTCGCAAACTCATGTGTCGTCACCGACGCCGCCGACAGACATGACTACTCCAACTCCTCCGCCCAGCACTCCTTCCAGGGCTTCATTGCCTCCACCTCCACCACAGCCCCAGCGCACAGTATATATGCCATACTACCCGCAGCTGCCTTGGTTGTCGGTCCCGGAAGCCGAGTTCCCCCCACGAGCATCACAAAAGAAGAGGCGACGAAGAGCTCCGGTACCGGCGCAGGAGGAGGGTCTGGCTCTGCCCTCACGCGAGCAAACCGTGGAGCCAGAGGTTGTCAAGGAAGAAGAAACTCAAGCAGAGGAAACCGTGCTGACTCCAACCGAGGACCCGGTGGACTCTCGCGCTTCGACCATCGCCGCAGTGTCCGAGGCTGAGGTGGAGACCCCATCGACATCGCACCCGCCGTCTGAGGCAGATTCAACAAATCCCATCACCCCGTCATCGGCCATGCCTCTGCGGTCCGCTCGACCCGCTGCTCCCTCGCACTCGCATGTTCGGACCGCCACCAAGCCTGCCGTTCCCCTCATTCCCATCAGGCCCATCAAGCCTGCGAGCGTTACTTCCACCACTCAGAAATCGGTCAAGTCGGCAGCAGCAGACAAAGACAAGGATGAGACCAAGAAGGCCGAGGATGCGGCTGCTCACACGCCTGCCGCTGAGACTCCTGGTAGCGCTGAAGAGACACCCAAGGCATCGCCTCCACCCAAGGCGGCCCCACCCAAGTCGTGGGCGGAGCTTCTGCGGTCCAAGGTCGCTCCTACCCCGGCGCAAGCACCCATTGCGAACGGCGTCGTTACTGCCAACGGATCGGCTGCGCAAAAGAGCAATTCCCTTGGCGATGTTCTCGCAGCATATTCTGTGGACTCCGATAAAAAGCTTTCGTTTCTTGAGCCCCGTGGTCTTGTAAATACGGGCAATATGTGTTATATGAATTCCGTAAGTCGTAGCCCGGATTGAGTCTATTCGTCGTGAGACTAACAGCTCGCAGATTCTTCAAGTTCTTCTTTTCTGTGTACCATTTTACGACTTCCTGGATCAGGTTGCTAAGCGCGCGGTGCATAGCTTCAAGTCCGACACCCCTTTGGTAGATGCAATGTAAGCCGTAGCCAGGACTTACAGTAGTTGCGTGCTAACGTTGTGTAGGATCATGTTTATGCGCGATTTCAAAGTAATTGACTCAGCCGTCTCCGCCGAGAAGCTCCGTCTACGCTTGAAGGACACCGAGCTGGAGCAATACGGCGACCCGCTCACTCCGGAATACGTTTACGACGTCATCAGACGTTTGCCGCGTTTTGACCACATGAAGCGGGGCCAGCAAGAGGACGCTGAAGAGTTCTTGGGCTTCTTGCTCGCCGGTCTACACGACGAGTGCGGCCACGTCATTAAGAGCGGGCGAAACACGCCCGGCGCGGTGGCGGACATCACATCACCGAAGAGCGAGCGGTCTAATTCGATGGACAGCGGCTGGCTCGAAGTCGGGCCCAAGCAGAAGGCGTCGATCACGCAGTCATCTGGGGTAATCGAAGTTGAAAGCCCTATCACTAGGATATTCGGCGGAAAGATTCGGTCCGAGTACCGCAAGCCTGGCGAGAAGCCTTCCGTTACGCTGGAACCCTACCAGCCTCTTCAGCTGGACATTGGCTCGCCCAATATTAACAACATCACGGATGCCCTGAAAGGCTTAACTCACTTGGAAACGCTCGATAGCACTGCGCGTAGTGGTCGGGCCTCGACCAAGCAGATGTTCATCGAGACGCTGCCGCCTGTCTTAATTCTGCACCTCAAGCGTTTCCACTATGACACCAATGGTGCCCAGAAGATTTGGAAGAAGATTGGATATCCACTTGAGCTGGAGATCCCCAAGGACGTGTTTCCGCCACACAAGCGGGGAAGCTTCAACGTTCGCGGTGGCCTGCCGCGCTACAGGCTCACCGCAGTCGTTTACCACCACGGTAAGAATGCCAGCGGTGGCCATTACACCGTCGACGTTCGTAGGCAGGAGGGCCGAGAATGGATTCGGATGGACGATACTATCATTCGGCGTATTCGCGCGGAAGATGTTGCGGAGGGAGGTGCTGAGGAGGACCCCAAGGTGTTGGCGGCCGCTCTTGAGCAGCACAAGAAAGACGCCGGAAAGAGCAAGAACTTCTACGAGCAGGTCGGCCTAGAAGACGACGATGAAGAGACGAGCAAGGGTGGCTGGAGCCAGGTCAATGGCTCGGACAAGAAGGAGAACACGAAGAAGTGGAGTGGAGTGGTGAACGGGACAGCGACTCCCAGCTCAGCTGGCAAGAGGACGCCGCTTCCCAAGGAGAACGTCCGGGACAACAAGGTGGCTTACATCTTGTTCTACCAGCGTATTGAGGCTTGAGTGGATCGCGTTGGATGACTTGTCGCTCCTAGCAGCAACGGTAGGCATTCAGGACGTCAGGTGCCCATGCATGGGCGGCTGCACAAAAGTTCTTTTGGGCATTTGCGGTCAACATGAGCGAGCACATTGCAGACGAGGCGCATTTATTCTGGGTAGCGCTGCTCGCTTGCATCGCGATGGCCAGGGTGCAGAGGGGCCAGAGCATGTAGTGAGAGGATGACACCCTTACTTGGCAGGGTTGTCGGTATAGAGTGAGCATAATGACGATAGTGCCCCTTTTCAAGTCCGATGGCTTGCCGTGTATGTGAGGGCTCATGTTCATGTGGGATATCGTAATTGTATAATTATCCCTGAACCGTCGAACTTAAGGTAGACTGGGAGAATTCAGTCCTCGCAATCCCCTTCCTCTTGAGGACACCTAGCCGTCGCCCCGTTTTAGCACACGTTCTCCACCTCGATGTCCTCACCACTACATGGTCCTAGATCGGAGCGCAGCGTCCGGCCAAACAGCTCCTTCAGCATCTCGAAGCATATGCCCGACAGCGCAGGATCGTAGCGTCCCTTGCTCAGCTCATCGCGAATAAACGCATCTACACATACCCATTAGCCAACACACTTCTCCACACCTTTCCCTTTCATATATCCTCCTCAACCCCCAATCCAATACTCAACATCATCCACGGGGAGAAAAGGGAGGGGGGCGCCACTCACGCTGCGCCCATGCGGGCTCGAAAAAGCTAAACGTCACGCCCGCCTCATGCAGCATCTTGCGGATCAAATCCCTGCCCTCGGGCGGCACATGGTTATCCAGCTTCCCGAAGATCATGACGAGTTCGCCCCTGATGTCGCGCGCACGCGCGAGCGAGTCGTCGGCTTTGCCCGCGCCCAGGCTGCGGCTGTGCATGTCGGTTGCGAAGTAGCAGATTGCGGCGGAGACGCGCGGGTCCAGTGCGCAGCGGTAGGCGAGGTGTCCACCGAGGCACATGCCTGGTTGTTTGTGTTAGCGTGTATGTTTGTAATGAGGGGAGGAGCTTTTGCTGCATCTCTCTCCCTCTCTTTCTATTCAATTGCCCCCGTTCGTCCATTGAGGCTGCAGGGGGAAGAGGCAAACGTACGTACCGGTGGCTCCGATCCGGCCCGTGCATGTTGGCAGCGAGAGGAGAGTGTCGACGCTTAGGGTGGCGTCTTCGTCGTAGGCTGATACTTTTTTGGTTATTTTCCACTCGTTGCCTGCGTCTGTGCCTGGGCCGTCGTAGGCGAGGGGTTCGGGGCCTGTGAATTCGTGGTAGGAGGAGGGTGCTGCGACGATGTAGCCTTGTGAGGCGATTTGGCGGGCAAAGCGGGATACGGGGCCGGTTACTGGAGAGGAGTGTTAGGGAGGGTTGGGAGATGGATGGTGGATGGTGGGTGGTAGTTGTGATTGGTGTTGAAGTATAGGGAGAGGAAGATGATTGAGAATCATTGGAGCATAGTAATATGAAAATATACAAGTGGTCAAACAAGATGATGTTAACAAGGAGCCATGATAGAATGGGATAGAGTATGGAAATCGAAACTGCAAGAATATGAGTAGCTCAACGGTGTCAAAAAGAAACCGAAGGCTAACGATGGTATACGATGCAACTGGTGCCCCTGTAATAAGCTCACCTTGGTAGATCTCGGAAAATACGACGACGCCGGGAAACTTGGCTTTGGGGTAGTTCGGAATGGTGGGGTGGAAGAGGAAGATTCCTGTTGCTCCCATTAGTACTCCATATTTGCTCGAAAGGTTCAATTGGGGTTCAATTACTCATATCACCACCGGCCTGGGTGGGCACATCTTTGTACGACTCTTGAATTAACATGGCGTATGTTTTCGATATCCGCGAGAGTCGTGGCTTCAGAGCGGAAGGACGCGGGGCAAGTCGTGAAGATGCTCTGGCATGCTCCGGATGAAGTTCGTTAGGAGCGGGTTCCGGCTAGACTTTCTGTCTATGCACTCCTTACGATCGCTGGAAATCCATTTCCGTGTTCCACCGCCTTTGGACCGCTTTGGCCTCACAGCACAAACATGCATCTTCTTCGCCGTTCTTTTGCTAGATCCGCGCGTTCGAAATGTCGGCGTCCCTGGCGAACAAACTCATCACGGTAACGGGCGCGGCATCCGGAATCGGCCTCTCGACGGCGCGTCTGCTCGCTCGACGAGGTGCTCTCCTATCCCTCGCGGATTACAACAAGTCGAAATTGTCTCAAGCACATGAAGAGCTGGTCTCAGTCTCGTCGTCTCAGAAGATCCTCTCCACGACGCTCGATATCAGAAACACGCAGTCGGTGAACGACTGGATAGCCAGCACGACCCAGCATTTCAGTCGGCCTCTCGATGGCTGCGCGAATATCGCCGGTTTCCATCCCCTCTGGTCCCCTAAGAGTGTCGAAGAGGTAACAGACGAGGAATTCGAAGAATGCATCAACATCAACACCCTCGGCCTCTTCAAATGCCTCCGCGCACAGCTCGCCCCAGGCATCATCTCCCCCAATGGCGGCGGCATCGTCAACGTCGGCTCTGTCTCAGGGCTTATCGGCTTCGCGGGCGATTCGGCATATGTAGCATCGAAACACGCGGCTCACGGGCTGACAAAATGCGCGTCGAAAGAGGCGGGCAAACGAGGGATTAGAGTCAATGCTGTTGCACCCGGCCAAACCAACACGCCTATGGTGCAGGCGATGGCGGCGGAGAAGGGTGTCTTGCCTACGCCGCCGGTCAGTTTGCAGAGGGAGGGCCAGCCGGAGGAGATTGCGGAGGCGATTGTTTGGCTGCTAGGCGAGGAGAGTCGCTATGTGACTGGGAGTATCTATCGGGTTGATGGGGGAATGTTGGATTGAAATCCCACGATCCTTTTGATTCTGGAGTCATTGTAGTTATGGTAGGGGTTCCGAACCGTCCATCAAGCCTGTGCTAATGCCGTTGAATATCAATTGTGACCTGGCCACTCTCTTGCGGTAAGGGATTCTATATATTTAGGGGCTCGCCGTACAAACAAGTAAGATTACTGGAACGCCTAACTATACGTCTGGGTAGTGTGAACAAGTGCATAGCAGTTACGCTGATGGCAAAAGCGTTTGGCGTTCCTTGCGTGCCGCACAACGGGGCTATGGGCCTTGTCGGAATAACGAGCCACCTCAGTCTCATTGGCTACATTGTCAGCAGTGGGAAGAAGGGCATGCTCGAGTTTGCAGAGAATAACCGTCACAGGGTGTACCAGAAGAATCCGGCTGAGGTCCGGGACGCGCATTACGTTACGCCGGTTGCGCTGGGGTATAGCTCTGGATACCAGAATGATTGTGTGGAAAGTTTGAGTGGCCGATGGGAAGCTTTCAGGCGAACGAGGAGGGGAGACAGAGGATGGGTGCGGGGAGGTTGACGCAGCTGTAGAGATATATTATATTGGATGATCTAAAAGCTACGGCCATGCCAGTCCTTATTGGATATTCGTGAATGAAAGAGTCTCAGGATAAACTAGATGGTAACCCTCTGAGGGTGGACCACTGATAATATGTTTACCACTGTCTTCCAATCCCTAGTGGCTAACATCCACGTCCGTCTACTCCAATCCAAGGAATTAAAACCCCAGATGATCCAGCAACTTGACCAGCTGAGCCTCGTTCTCGTCCCTGCATTTCAGTATCACGGCCTCAGATTGCAGCCGCAAGACATCCGAGTTTGTAACGCGCCAAGGTAAGATGGAGCGAAGAACAGCATCAACATCTGCAACCTTTTCGATGCCTTTGATAGTTCTCGGTCGCTGTACGTCGAGGCGCTCCAACTCATCCTCCCAAATCTTGGCAACATCCCACTTCACGCCGTCCTCTGCGTTCTCAGGCAGTGCCAAGGGGAAGCCATGAAGCTTTGCGTCTCGCAACGCTGTCTGTTCGCTGGATTCAATATCCGACCAGCCTTGAAATTGGCCTCCAGCGCCGCTGAAGGAGCGCAGGAATTCGTAGGATGGATGCAGTATGCAAGCGAAGTCGTAATCGATCAAGGCTGTGATGCGCTGGGTGGAAGCATCATAGAGCAGGTTGTCCGGAGCTGAAAATCGAACAGTGTTAGCCTTGCAGCATCAGAGCTATTTTAAGAAAGAGGAATTTACTTACTGAAGTCGGCATGGACAATGGCCTTATCATCCCTAGACTCAAGGGCCTTGAACTGGGCCGGAACGCCGCTCTCAACGAAGGCTTCAAGGCGTTTCCTCACCCCATTTGCATGCCATCCCTTGATGTAGGGGTTGCTGTCTGCTTGTTGCAGAGCGCGTTCAAGTCGGTCTCTGAAGTAGTCCTCATACAACAGCCAAGGCCCACTACCTACGCTCGTCATCGCTGTGCTTACAATCTGGCCGGTGCCATCGAAGGTCACCCCGCCGTACTGCTCGATGCTGCTCGGAAGCTGGAAGTCTTGCAAGGCCTTCAGAATTTCGGCCATCTGGGCAAGGATGCTTTTCTTTTCCCCGAGGGGCATGCTGTTAAATGCTTCGCTCACTGATGCCCCAGGCATCAGCTCCTGGAGGATCCAGCCTTGCGAGGATGGCGGGGCTGCGCTTCCCCAACCGTACACGGAAGGAACCACGTGTGGTTTGAAGCCACTGAGAGCAGCAGCAGCGAGAGAAATAATGGCGACCTCGTTTTCCACTCGGGTATGCGCATGCATTCCCTCGGCGTCAGGGTTGGTGAGCCTCATGATAAACTCTTTGGCGCCCTCTGATAGCGGCGCGGTGCCCGGCAGACTCGTTTCATTGCTGGTATTATCTCGGGCAGCGGACGGCGGCGAAGGCAGAGTGATGTGGTAAACGAAGTTGTTGTACTTGAAAGGACTCTCCGGGTCGTATTGGATGGGATCGATCCTGGCTTCCTTCGAAGGTTAGCACCAAGTGCTTCGGCCGAAATGCATCACGTGCAGTACTTACGCCGCCGCCGAACCGTTCGCGCAGAAGATTCCGGATGAAATCCAGCCGCCCTTGGAAATTTGCGCGATTTTGATTCATAACGACAAAAGAAACAAAAGCGCAAGGGATTTTGCACAGAATGTCTGCAAGGAAAGCTAAGTACGAGATGCGTGGTACATTTGTGTCGTGAAGGGGTACGGCGATGGGATCATCTTGAGGCACGTGCGTCTTTCGTGCAACTTGGCGCGCGTCTAAAGCTTCGAAAACAGCTAATCACTAGGTTAAGACTTAAGAGAGCGGCTGCGCGATTCTTGTTTACCTACTTAGTATTATCTACTAAAGTAGTAAGTATAATTCTACGCTTTACTAACTTACTATATTTTCTAATTATTTATAAATAACGTACTTTATAAGTAAGCTAGTTATATAAGCAAGCTAGTTACTTTCTCTTAGTAATAAAAATTAATAAAAATTAATCTATTTTTCTTAAATAACTAAGTAAAATCTTAATATTTTTCTATAAAAATTTATATATTTATTCTTTATAGTATATTATATCTTATAGTAAAGTTATACTAAGATATATTATATAATTAAAAAGCTATATATAAACTAACTTTTAAGAAAAAATCTAGTTTACTTCTAGTAATATACTTTATAGTAAGCTAGCTATATAAGTAAGCTAGCTACTATCTTTTAGTAAGAAAAATTAATAAGAATTTATAAGTTTTTCTTAAATAACTAACGTACTTAATAAATAAACGTCTTAGATAAATAAACGCTCTAAAAATACTAAGTATAAGAATTAATAGGTTTTTCTTAAATAACTAAGTAAAGCCTTAATAGTTTTCTATAAAAATTTAAATATATATAAAGCTATACTATATATACCTTCTATTAAATTTATACTATATATTTTCTATTACGTAAGCTTAAAATAAGCCTTTTTCTAAAAGTAGCTATTCTTAGAGTTTAAACCTTATAACGTACTTTATAAGCGAGCTAGTTATACAAGCAAGCTAGTTACCTTCTCTTAGCAACGAAAATTAACGAAAATTAACCCGTTTTTCTTAAATAACTAAGCGAAACCTTAATGTTTTTCTATAAAAATTTATACATATATTCTCTATAGTATAATACACCTTATAGTAAAGTTGCACTAAGATATATTACGTAATTAAAAAGCTATACGTATTTAACTAACTTTTAAGAAAAATCTAGTTTACTTCTAGTAAGTACTATTATATCTCTATAATAATATATAAAACTTATAGTATATAGTATTTATAATGTAATAAAGGTTTCTAGAAAACTTTTATAGAGCTAGCTCTTCTAGGTATAGCGTAATAAGAGATAGAACTTTAAAATATTCTTTTTAGAGTTTTCTTCTCTAACTATATATAGATATTAATAATCTAGCTATATAAAGCTATATATTATAAGCTTATATATATTATAAGGTTTCTAGATATTTAGAAGTAATAATTTTAAGATAGTTTTAGTATAGTTCTATCTTTTTCTACTATACTATTAAATGGTTTTACTTTTAAATAACTACTTAAAGCTACTATATTATTAGTTAATAAGCTCTATACAGTTTAAGTATACTATAATTTATAAAATTATAAGTTTATATAGCTAGATTAACTAATATATATATAGTTAGAAGAGAAAACTCTAAAGAAGAAATTTCTCTAACTTCTATCTCTTATTACACTATACCTAGAAGAGCTAGCTCTATAAAAGTTTTCTAGAAATCTTTATTA